CGAGCTGAGGACCGTGAGTCGCGTCGTCGGTGACCCGCGTGATTCCGAGGAGTACACGTATTGGGAGACATCTTCGCATGACACTCTCGCCTACGCCTTTTACAGCGTGCCGGATCAGTACAGGAATGTCCCAGCAGTGAAGTCCGCCTCGCGCATTTTCGACCAGATTCCTGACGGCCAGCTCGTGCGACCGGACAAACCGGAGCCTGCTGTTGTCCGCCTCAGCGCGGTGAAGGGCACTGAAGACACCCGGAGAAACCTCGAGAGGCTGAAGGAGGAGTCCATCAAGAAAAATGTGGTCATCCTCGGCGCCAGGAGAGGCGAAGATATCGCCCCCAGGATCGGAAACACGATCACTACTCTGTGCGCCAAGATCGGGGATATTGCCCGATTCCTGGAGATGGGAGTGAGATCCAGAGCAGGACCTATCCTCCCGACCAGGAGTGACCCTGACCTGATGATCCAGGCCATTGTTCCCGCACCCGAGGAGCTTCTGGACTACTTCGCCGACGAGATCCGTCAGAAGGTGAAGGGTAGGACGGGCGCCTCTTCGCACTACTACAGGAGAGCATGCGCGGAAATACGCGACGCGCTCCGTGGAACAGCTGTGCAGCCTGGAAATGCAGGTGCAGTCAAGGACCCAGAATTGGAGGCCTCGTCTGCCAGCGGGCAAGGGAACGTCACTTCGGTGATACAACTGAAGAAGTTCCTGAGCCACTACTTCGGGACCAGCGTCGAGTCTGAGGATGCCTTTTCATCGTACCTCCTGTCTTCCTTCCTCGAAGACGGGGTGGGAATGTTCGAGATCATCATCACCGTCATTCGTGACAAGGAGCGTCGATTGCTGCCTGGTTCCGCCCGCATAGCGGCGGTAAGGTCGCTTGAGATCGGATCCGACACTGATTACCGAGCATTTCGTGAACGATACCAATACATGCTCTACGAGAGCCCTGTTTGTCTTCCTATCACATCTAAGGTGGTTCCCAAGACACTCTACAAGGTGGTGCCTCTCCGGATGTATCGGCTCTACGTAGAACGTGGGGCGATCATTCGGGGTGGGCGAGCTCTGATCGAGCTCCTTCCCTCTAGGCCGGATGAATATCAATCCCTCCGCGATCACGGAGAATGCCCCAACGACACTGTCGACCGCATCACCGACAGCAATGTGACGGAGCTGCACACCTCGGGTCGACGCCAAAGGAGCGATCCCCGATATGTGGTCATGGCTATCGATGCACGTTTCTTCTCCATGGAAAATGGGGGCATGCATATTACTCGTCAGGGTACCTTTGCATCGCGCGAGAACATCGCGATCGGGTACTGGAGATGCGTCTACTTCAAGGAGGACTGCTCCATCATTTACCTGAGGCCTTGGTGCTATCCGCCCAACTTCCTCAACTCCGTGAGTGAGAACCCGAGGAAGTGTCGGGACGAGATGGAGAAGTATCACCAGATCACCAAGGCGGAGCATGTCCGCGAGGTGGTGTCCGTTCCATGCCATAGGTGCATGACGGCCCACCCGATCGGCGCTCACCTGTGCACCGCCTGCTACCTTCCCATCTTCTATGAGGGCGTCCTGCCCACCGGAGACACGAACGGCGGCCCTCGCACGATAGCGAGCACCGACGGGGTGATTCCTCCCTGGCTGGCAAAATACGAGGGCGTCGTCCCCGCTCTGTGGAACAACGCAGACGCCAACGCCATCGGAATGGCCCTCTACTCACAGAGTCCCGCCGTTGATGCCCGGTCCTTGTTGATGTCTGGGATGCGGCCTCCTAAGTACCTCGACAAAGAGGACGTGGATGGCATTTTCCGGAAACTTCACGACTCGCTCCGAGACGAAGTTCTTGACGGCAAGAACCGTGACACTGTCGACCACAACGTGGAAGAGTGGGTCGCAAAGGCGATCTTGGTAAGGGGTCTTGCCTTCAACGGGAGCTCCGTCCCCGACTTCTTCGAAGAATATGAGGGATATGCGGCTGAGTGGGGCAGACGCCTAACCACCGCAAACTTCAACGCCAACCGCTGCGGCTTTTACACGTCCTACTACATGGTTGAGGCCCATATCATTGGGCTGAGATCAGGGCACCTTTCTCCGATACTCCCCAACGATGTGTCCGGGGAGGGGTTCAAGGCCCAGGTGGGGCTGCTCGCACAACACTGTGGGATAATGCAGGCCATGCGGAGGAAGGCCGGATTCGATCCCGCCGCGCGTCTCAAACAAGCTATGGACGCGATACGGGAAGGCATTAAGAAGGGATACGTCTACACGCTCAACGACCTCAGCAGTATGGATGATCTGATCTACCGGACGTCCACCGTTGCCTACGACACATGCCTGGCCGACCGTCCTCAGACCCAGGACGACATCAAACAGGAGCTGGCCGATCCTGTACCAAGGAAATACCGCTTCCGACCCCGCGATCGCCATCGACCCGGAATTCGCCTTACACCAGGCCCCGGCGTGAAAGACGAAGACGAGCCCGACTTTGCTGGATCAGCGGAGGATGAGCTAGGATCGGATGGATCTTCACACAAAGATGACGACAAGCCTGACGACCTTGACGAGCCCATGGGCGACGACGAGGAGGAAATCCCTCCCCCTCCGCCACCGCCCCCGGCTCCTCCTGCGCCGCCTGTCCCGGTAGAACCGGAGACTCCCGTGGTGTCACACACAGGCGTCGGTTCTGGCGAAGCTGTGCCAACTCCTCCTCCTCCTCCCCCCGCTCCCATTGCTGCAGGCATTACGACGGCTGGGGATCCGTTTGAGGAAGAGGACATGGCCGTCAATACTCGTGTCCCTGACACCGAATCCGAGCTGGAGGGTGACACCGACCAACCCAAGGCCAGGAGGACATCTCGTGGTCGGGTCCCTGCGCCCGAGAAAGGGCAGGGGGGCGTTCATGTCCCGCCTGGCGGGCAACCCAGCTCTAAGAGCATGGCCCAGCCTGCCCGTCCATCCCCGGTCCCCGCGAGAAGCGATGCGGAAGGGGGGGAGAGAAGGGGCAGAACCAAGGGTTTCTACACCCAGAAGGATCCCTTTACCGGCGAGGACGCGATTCCCCAGGTTCGTCTTCGTTCGGGCGGTCCCGGAACTCCCGCGTCCCCACCACGGGATGCCACTGGTTCCTTGGGCGGCCGTGGCAGCTATGACCCACGCGATGACGACGACGAAGAATGGGAGCTTCCCCCGGGCGTGCCTCGGACCACTCGTGCGGCCAATGAGTCACGGCCCCACCGAGATGACGATCGATCAAGGACCGCGCTTGGGGCCCGCGAGGATCGTCGCGGCCCTAAGGGTGAGGGGAAGGGTCGAGGAAAACATCGACCTGGCAAAGGTGGACGCGAGGATCCTGGCCCGCCCCGACAAAGGGATGATCGTGGCAGGGATACCCGCGGGGGCCGACGCGATGATCGCCGACCTCCTCCACGTCATGAAGAGCCCCCCGAGAGGCGCGGTCCGGGGCGAGATGAGCGCCGCGGACGTGATGGCCCGACTGAAGACCGTCGTGATCGCCACCGGGACCGTCGCAGGGATGACCGACGTCACCAATCGGATCCCCCTCCGCCTCGCCGACCTCCGGCTGGCGACCACAGTAGGGGTGCTGGTGAGGATCGCCGTCGGGATGGAGGAGGCGATCGAGGTGACCGCGGTGGACGCCGAAGAGACGACGCGCCCAGAGACCGGGAAGAACCCGGTTCAGGGTGGTAGGCAGGTACCGCAACCAGCATCCGCCTTAGAAGGGCGGGGATGGCACGTGTGTCGCCGAAAAGCGCGACCGTGCCGATCCTCCTCTCGCCCATGCGGCACTGCTGGGGGTGATGGTCTCCATTGCCCTGTACCGCTGATCCGGCGTTGGTCGTGGCCCTCCCGCACCGCTGCCGTGCGCGCTGGAGACGGTTCCCCTGGCGATCCTGTGTGAGGCTGTGACCGCACTAGAAGTGCCGGGCCGGCCGTAGCCGGATATTTTCACACCAATTTCGGAACGTCCTTTTCCTATTTCCTCCCAACTCGACTACTCCTCCAACCACTTCACGGCGTGCAGTGAGGCGCGGTGATCCAGATAGGGTCCCCCTCCGCATGTTGTTGTCCCATGACAATGCATGAACGGCACGAGAGGAATCTTCGTCTGGTTCCTCCAATATGTCCTTGTTCACTCATGTGGTCCACTCGTCAAATAATCCTGTCGCCCCGCTAATTCGGGGTGGTGGCGGGATTTTAACTGGGGCCCAGGTGCTGCCGTTTGGCTCACCTCTGAGTTGACACCGGCATTTTTGGTTGGTCCCTTTCGTCGTGAACTCAACTGTCTCGCATCCTTTCTCTCGTCCAGATATCGGATGAGGGGGGTGTGTTTTGTTCACGTGTTGTTTCTTCATATGGCAAAACGGCCGAATGGCCGTTTGGCTCAAGTTTTCAACCCCCCGTCAGTTCAGCTCTGGCCCACGTGCGGACGCCATACAACGGCAGCCGCCCACATCACCGGGAAAAGGTCTCGGTGCTGGGGGCAGCTGGTTGTGGGAGGTATCCGGTGGTGCGGCAGGGTTTGCTGGGCTTGGTTGAGTACTTATACTTCTTCAACTTGATTCCCAACTTCCCCAAACTTCTCTTTACCAACCGTCACTTCCTCAACCCGGTCATCATCCACAGCTTCACCCGAGTTGTGATTCCGGGTGCTTTGGGTACATTGTGATCTTCTTTGTACTCATTTGCTTCCCTGGGCTACTTCGTGTTCGCCCAAAACCGCACTAAGTCTTAGCCTCATTTCCGCTTTCCAAGACCTTCTTGCAGGGGGGGTGTAACACACCGACATCGATATGGCTGTGTCGTTTTTTTTGGGACCCCTCAAAATGGTGGTTTTCCTGTTGTCTTCTTTTAAAACCATCCAACAAAGGAATCCCCGCAAAAAAAGAAGAAGAAGAAGCACAAATCAATGCACACCCATATGGTCTCAGAAGCAATGGTCTCAACCCCGCGAAGCGCTTCGCGAAGCGCTCGGCAGGTGATGGCGCCAACCTCAGAGCTCCAATTCCTCTGAACATGTTTTTTTTGATCTTTTCTTTTTTTCCCTCGAGGGTTTCCTGTTTGCTGTGGGTTTAAAGGGAAGCCAAAGGACGACCATGTTTGTGGTGCCATATTTTAAGACACACCCACATATGTTATATCTGAAAGGTTCGCATATGGAACAGAGTCCGAGCACATGATTTTTGCTCTATGGAGCCAAGAATACGCCCCCGAAGTCGAGGATCCCGTTTAAATGCGTTTAAATGGGTTGCAGCCCTCTTATCAATCTACCAGGGAATGCCAATTTCTTGGGCCCCCCATGGGGCAAGGGTGACCCAATCCACACCGATTCTCTTTTGTGGGGCAATCACGGCTCATGGCCTATCACGTGTATGCCAATCTTTCACGGCTTTGGAAGTCGCTGGTTTGCGCCAAAAAAAACCACGCGTTTTGCTGGGGATCTCGGAAGACGGGGGAGGCGATGTCAAAGTCCTTCAGCAGGGACTTGCACTGCAAATGGGTTGTTGTCTTTCAAACGGCGTTGTTGCACTGTTGCTTTTCCATGCTTTTTGGTGGGAGGGGACACATGATTTGTGCTAAACAGTTCAAATACCCCCAAGCAAATCGGGTATATAGGCCAATGTAGTCACATGGCCAGTATATCATCGGTGTATTCCCCGTTGCCCCAAGGACAAATTTCTTCATGGGCAGCGGTTTGAGGCCAATTGAAACCTTCCTAGATCCGAGGGGTCCCCTTGAAGAATCCTATGCTGTTTGTGCTGCCAGGCAGCCTCTTGACTTGGCTGCTAGGGATGGTCATTGACATCTTGATAGGGGTTTCAGACGGCCAAGTGTTCCTCCGAAGGGAACGATGACCGTGACCCACGCGACCGGAACTTTTATCAAAATACGCGTGAACACTTTCACGAATGAACTCCCCGTCACCCAAGAACATTTTATTGTTACGAAATTCATATGTATATATATATATATATATTTATTTAGGTGGTATATATCTACATATACATATGAGAAAGCCACAACATGTATAGGTATCTCCAGCACCGACTATTCGTTTGAGCCAAAGTACAAGCCAAGGAGCTGCAAGTGGCAGAGGAAATGTTGCTTCGCATTCTGCGCGAGTGACATCGAGTGACACATGATCTGTACATGACCGAAGTTGGGGGAACTGGGTGGCTCGTCTTTTTTTGGACCTCCAAAAGCGTGGTATTCAGGGTTGTGGGATCAAGGGGTTTTTCCCCACTTCCGTGATACAAGGGAATCTCCCCCTTTATATGGGGGGTTAGTCTTTGATAAGCCCTTTCTGTTGTATCACAGAAGTGGTCATTCCCCACAACCCTGCTGGTATTTCCCAGCGGTTCCCCTTTGAAACCACGAACTAAAACAAGGGGGTCCCCGAAAAAAGACACGCCCATGTGTCTTACAGTTGCTTCTGGGAAGCTAAGCTTGAGCAGCAGTGCTGGCCTGGAGCCTGGCAAAGTCGTGGAAAGGCAACCTCAAAAATGCGCCACACGCACTGAAGGACTTGAGGCGGTGCAAAAAGTGCGACACCAAGAGCTACCTGCGAAACGGCGACTGTTGCAACATGCTATGTGAGCAGTACTATGTGATGCAGAATCCAGGGAGCCAGATGTGGCAGAAAGGACCAGTGGGATCTGGAAAGGTATGGCCTCCACAGACTGGGCCGAAAGCGGATATGCGGATCTGATTCCCAGGCCCGCCTGCAAGGAATGCAGGTTGAAATGCACACGAATTGGAGGGGTCCATTTGGCCGGAGTTTTTGATGTAGCCCATATAGGTGCCTCAAGTACCCAATATGAGCTCTAACTTGAAACCAATTGACTCGGTGGTCCCTACATGGGACACCCACGCCCAGAACTGACACCAGGCCTTGTTTGTTGAATGGAAGCCACTTTTGGGTCAATGTTTGGTATCTTATACCTTTGCCCTTTATCTTTATGATGGGGGGAGATGTGACTTAAATTCCAGGTTGAGAGATTCAGGTTTACCCACCCAGTAGGTGTTTAAAGGGTTTCATTGGTCTGCAGAACCAGGGAAATGATTCGAAACGCTGGGCCAACATGGAAACCTTCGAAAGGGACGCGGTCCCTTCCACAGTCAGGTGCAGTGGAAATGTGGAACATGGGTGTGTGCGTGAGCATATACAGAATATGAATTCTTAAGGTAAGCCCTGCTCTGCTCCCCCAAGAATTAGATAGGGCTCATGTTTGCGGATCTCGGTCGAAAGGTTCCGAACCTCAAGGCTTGCCTCGGCTGCGCCAAAGCGCGGCCCGAGTTCCGGTGCGGCCGCTGCCGCGTGGCGCGCTTCTGCGGCGAGGCAAACTCCCCGAGCGTTTTGCTCCGAATCGCCCGTTGGGTGGTTTCCTCCATGGGTGTTTTTTGTTCTCTCTCTCCCTCCTTTTTTGTGAGGGTACCATTGTGTTGGTAAGTTTGAAGGAAAAGCAAATGGGTCCAACTGCTCAAAGAGGACAACCCCGAAATGGAACCTACTTGGGGCTTCTGGTCTGGATCATTTTCTCTGCCTGGCTCCATGGCATTGCTTTGGCTTCCCGGAGTTGCTGGAAAACTTGGAAAGCTCAAACCTTAGTGGCCAAGGTCCTCGGGAAGGCGTGCAAGCGGACGTTTGAAGGTTGTGGCTTATTGTCAGAAAGTTGGGGTTGATGCCGGTGTACCAGTTTACAAAAGGGGTGTGCGAGGAAGTTTTGGTGATGCCACAATTGTCCAAGTAGGGTGGTAAAGGTTTATGAGGTTTATCACGAGGCAAATATTTCGCCGACCGCAATCCCTGTAAACCAACGGTGTTGAAGTAAAGCAAAATCACTTGTAAGCCATCAACTCCTGGGTTGCTGGCCTAGTCATTCAGGTAGAGGATAATCATGCCCATGTTCAATAGGTTGCATGAGAGCAGACCAGATCATGTGCAGGGTCTGGCGGGATGTTACATGTTTTTGCTGTTGCTTAGCGCCCAGTTTGAGCTTCAGAAGCTGTCTCTCTGACAGTTGCAGATAGTTTGTTCTTGGCTGCAAACAACAGCAACTGCCCATTCCTGTGCTTTGCTTTTTTCGTGTTTTCCTTGTTGTCCCGGCCAAGAAAATGCAACACCATGCAATATCTCGCGCATCCGGGGCAAACACCCAGCCGTCCAGGCATGCCAGCGCCGCGCCGCCCAGGAGCACCGACCCTACTGCGGGGAATCTCAGATTGCCGGGCCGCGGGAATCCCGGCCACACCCCCGGAGTGAATTCAGATTCGAAAAGAGTTGGATGTGCGGGGCGCAAAAAAAAGACGGAGTTTCCAAAACTTTTGGAAAGAGTTGGATGTACATATCCCAGACCTGTGCCTCTAGTCCCGAGATCTCGAGGCGATTCCCCTACAAATACCCAGAGAAAGGGTGCCGCGTCCGTTTTTCCCTGAGCTGGAGGGGGCTGGAGGTTTGCCCTGCGATCGGGTAAGCAAGCCTATGTTCAATTTGCCCACACGGACGCCACTGGTCGTTGCCAGTACCGTTGCCGTTGTCATGTGTGTTTGGTTGCTGGTTGAGGTGGTGTTGTTGTTTGCCGCACACGTGTTTTCCGCAGTCGCCCTTTGTTTGTTCCCCACTTAAACTCAAGAGGCCATCCTCCCGCTTGTGGCTGGCGCAACTTAAGCAAATGCGTCAATTCCAAAAGCGGACCCTTTGGCCTCTTCCCTTTCGCTTACTTTGTTTCATCCTCGCCCGAAACACTGTTAATTTCTCCAAATGTTGCAAGGAGCTCAGGAATAAGTAGCCTTCCTGTAATTTACGATGGTTTGGTTGCTGGTTACTTACATCTTTAGGACAGCATCAATATCACCAGACTTCAATTGAAATCCATGCAAATCCCCTTACGTAGAGAACGGGTGCATGAATGAGAACCGACCAGAAGAATAGCTTTCTTCTCACCTGACTTTGGCGCTGTCTTGTTTACATAGCAGATCTTCGTTCCACATACGCCCGAATCCCCTGTCGGGCGTTTTAGTCGGTTTCCTGCACCCCATGTTGGTAGAACCACGTCATAGCATGGTCGTTATTTGGTACAATCATATTGGTGTTGGTCATGTAGGTTATGTATGTAAACCATACAGTTTGATTGTCTGACCGTGTTGGTAGAACCAAAAGTCAAGGGCTTGGAGTGCTCATGCGTTGAGCCACCTCCGATGCTTCAGTGGCACCCTTTTCCTTTTGCTGTCTGGATGTACAAGATATGGTCAACCCAAATGTGGGTTCCAAGCAACGAAAACATGGGCCCATGAAAGCGACATCCTGAAAGTTGCTCTCAGACTGTGTTAGTTTCAAGTTGACACCACCCCCCATCTTGAGACTTGCATGGGGGGCCTTCCGAGCCTTGCTTCTTTGAACCCCAACAGATTTGGGGATTTTGAGAATTGTTTAGATTTGCGACAGATCTCGTCAAATGCTTGAATTGTAAGGGATCAACCAAACAGCTTTCACAGAGTCCATGGGTTTCTGATGGCGTTTCCCGGCCGAGGTGCACCGCCAGATGATGCGTCGGCGGCCGCGATCTCGGTGAGAGACGCCGGTTTGTTGGGTTGAAGGGGATGGCAACTGGAGACTTTAGTAGTTGAGGATGTTGACCCCATATTAGTCAGCCCCAGTTTATTAATAGGGGGGTGGGGGCCGCTCCAAAAGTGGTCTGATTCCCACATTTGACTCAGGTACACCCCCCTAGTATTAAACTGGGGTTGAGTAATATGGGGTCAACATCACGACTTGAGCATGTTGCGGTTCACCACTCACGAACCAAAACTTAAAAGAAGCGCGCACTCAAAACTCCCAGAGGTGATTAGATAGCAGCTGGAGTTGGGGGGAGCCGAGAGCACAGTTTCGAGTCAGCTCTTCGCGTGTGCACAATCAACAGACATTGGCGTCCCTTGGCCCATTCAGTCATCCTCTACAGCTTTGTTGGCACAGCCACGAGGAAACCGCCCACCTCCCCCCCCCTCCTGCACGAATTTGTTCTGGGGTGAATTTTTAGAGCTCGCCACACTCACCCTGCCATAGGAGCGGCCCCAGAAAAGAAAAGGCGCAACACCAACCACAACAAAGCCAACCGGCCCCAAGTTGGGTCTCCGCGAACAACACCCCAACCGAGAAACAAGAAACACATTGGGGACCAAAGCGGCTGTGGGGTCTCCGAGGGCAACAAGCTCAACCTAAGCCCAGTAAAACGAAGGGTGCCGCGGAGACGACTGGTGGAAGACTAAGAAGCCATCCCGCAGGGTGGCCAAAAGGAGAAGGCCCAAAAAGGGGTGACCCAGCGGGTCTTGGGCCGCGTCTGACAAGCTGACGCGCTTGAGTCTGAGATCGGCGGACCGGTTTCCATGTGACGGGCAACGCAAAGGACGCACCGGAGTCTACTATCCCCGGGCGGTTATTCCCTTACTTGGATGCTCATCTTAGCTTACGATCGTGGCCCAACTGGCCGACTGGGCCCTCATATCCCCAGGACAAGACCTACTTGCCTGAGGTAGGTCGAACATTCATGCGTTGCTGATGTTTTGCATGATGGGCATGGCCCTACTTTGACCAGCACAGCCATCCATCACTAGTTTGTTTTTGCCTCCGGAAAATCTTCACCTCGGACGAACAATCCTGTCGATTCACAGGAGGTGTTCCCCCAACAAGTGCAGGATCCATGAAGAAGAATGATAAGGCGCCCAAAACAACAATCAGAAAACAAACACCTCAAAATCGGGTACATTAAGGTGACATCATCACATTTCGTAGGTTCCTCTGATTGAAAACTCAAATGAAAACCCCACATGGGGGTTGATCAATACTCTTGGCCCCAAAATGACCATGGGCAAGTGGTGAAAGTCATCTTTGTTGGGTGATTTCCATGTTTCCATGTACTGTACTGCTATTGGATTGGATCTTTAGACTTTAACTTTTTTGGGAAATAATGGTGTTTTCCAATAAACCCCAAAAAGTTAACATTTTTGCGGGGGGGGCAACAGCAACCAAGTGTATCAGGGACCATTTCATCAACCCCCACATGTTCCTGGCCCCAACAAATACCTTCACCGCTGAGCCCAAAACCAAGGCCGGTGAAGCGCATTGGCTGCTTTCACTAGGCTTGCGACAGGCGAGTCGGGAGACATGGACGAAATTCCATGGCTCGTTTGGTTTTTTTTGGGGGAGAGGGAAAGCAAAAGGAGAACCGTTCATGCAGCCTCCCTCTAATAGGTTTGGAGCGCGGTGGTTTGGTGGTTAGGAACATGTTTCAGTTTCTCTACAGACTCTACCCTCAAACACCTTTTGGGTTCGAAAGCCCCGAACAACCAATCCAACCAAAGAAAGGGAGGCTGAGTGAAGCCATTCGGGGGCTCCGATTTCGGCCCAAGCCACCTGGGGTTTCGATCCGGGCCCCGGAAGTGTCGATCCGGGTGGGTTTTGACGCAGGGCGCGGCGGTTTCTTTGGGGGAACCCCCAGTTTTGAAATGGCGGGCCCGAGGGAACTCTGAACGCCTAGAGGTGTAAGTTCGAGATTTGAGGTGGCGTGTGTAATTTTTAGGGGTTAGGGCACTATGGCTTGGGGCTTCTTTTTTGGGGGGAACCTGGGAACGGCCCAAGAACTGAAACTGATATTGCGACCAGGGACTTGGGCGTTGGGAATATGAACCCCGGGTTCTTGCTCAAATCCAGTGAGCACATGAGTATTGATTATTGGCTCGTTTCAATTCAACCAAGGCTTTCCTTATCTCTTCGAGCCTCAAAAGAGGCTGCTGATGGGGCAAGCCCTGCCAACCCCGAGCAAAATAGTCTTGTGTCTCATGTCACATATATGTTAACCCTATCACTTACCCCCTACAAGAAGAGTAAGAGCGTCCAGGTTAGCATTTTGTGTTTTTCCCGCGCCGGTCAGGTAGGGTATTTCACCAAGGTATGTACCGAACCGGGTTGTTCGTGGCGTTACTGCAACTACCCTGAGCCTGCAGCCCACTGATTAGAAATGACAATTCGCAAATGTTGTGTTCCAAGCGGCGATGATACCAGTTGCTCGGTGAACCTGGTGGAAAGCTGGGATTCACGGGTGACTTTCATGATGCCACGAGCGATCGGTGTGCTAAAGTTTTTCTGGAGAGGGGACTTTGGGGGCACATGGGGCACCTTTTCTTGCGAGTTCACCTGGGAGGAAAACAAGCAATTCCGCATGTGATGAATCCCTTCCTGGGTTCTCGCAGCGGCGTGGTTTTTGGTATCGTTCTAGTGGTTTGCCCAAATGGGACTACCACTTTTGTATCAATGGCCGCTTTGCAGAGCTGTTCCCACGTCCGAGTGCAGTGCAGGGTGTTTTTTAAATAGAAATCTGGAAACACTCGGCGCAATCCTTGCCGAAAGGAATCAAAACGACAACTCAGGAAAGATATCATCTTGTGCCTCTTTGGTTTGACCTTGGCAAGACACATCGGAAGTGAGAAACTGGCTTCCTCACCAAGTGCTTCGATGGCAAAGCACTGAGCATGATATTCTGATTGTTCTTAGTGGGCCAGCCCAAGCACCCATGCATATTTTTGGTGCACACTGTGCTTCAACTTGGCCTAGATCGCTGGCAGGCCGACTGCCACGATCTATATTTTGTTTTTTGTTTTGTTTTTTTTGTAGCGCTTTCATCACTTAGGGCGAACACGACCAACTTGGCAAGTTGGGCCTGGCAGTCTGCACCCTTCAAGTTTTGACCAGGCTTCTCTCGAAAAGATGTGCCCAGTTCTTAGCCTTCAGCGCCCCTTATGAAAGAAGTTGAATCTCGAACAATGGCAGCGTGGGCCCAGTGGATTCTGACTGGCCAAGAATTGTGCTTAACCCTACAAGGTAGATTCGCAAGCCCGTTGATTCAGGTGGGCGCGACGGTTTAGGTGGCCAGCCATTGGGGCGATCGGGATCCACTGGATGTCGATCTACCCCATCCCCCCTCAGACTAGTTGGGGCAAGCGCTGAATTTAGATTAGAATGGAAATGGGGGGGCCTTCACCCCACACAGATCGCTCTCCCCTTGTGCTGTGAATTAGCTCTTTGTGAACCAACATCAGCTACACCCTGGCAAATTGAAGCGTGGATTCTTCCTTTCCTTGCTTTGTATTTCATGAGTTGACATCCCATCCAGCAGTGCCTCTCCAGGTGGTAGGTAGCCATACCTTCCGTTTGGCGAAGGTCTGAGCCTCAAAATAACGATTCAATCGGTAGGAAATTGGTATTGGCCTTCCTCAGGCCAAGTGGATCTTTGGAGCAACCCACAGCGGTGTTTCAAGTTGCCTTGATGCACAAAAAGGCTATAGCGACGGCGTCAAACACGAATGTTTAAGTTATCCAAATGGCAATAAAACCGCGATGAGTTGTGATTTGATACTTCTTGCACCCGTGCTACATCGTCAGCTTTCGACCGAGCAAGCCCACAGTTGAGCATCTGTCGCTAGGACGGAAAGGTGGTCGGCCAGAGGCAGCTGTCTGAGCAGGAGGCGGGAGGATTGTTCCTCAGGATTGTTCCTCGGAAAATGCCCACACTTGGAATCCCCTGTTTGTTGGTTTTCTTTTTTTGGGGGCCTCCAAGTTTGAGACGGTTTTTGAGACGGTTTTGAGAGGTCCCTTTGGGTACTTTTGAGCTTGTTGCCCTTCGAGCCACGCCATCGACGCATGACAACTTGGGAGATTGACAAGATGGGCGGAATTTGTGGGGCGAATCCCCTGTTCCCTAGCAACAAACGGTCCACACAATGACGCCCCTTCTTGGGGCCGCCGTATTTAAAGACGGCAAACAAAATCCCACCAAGGTTTCAAGCGGGCCTCCGATGTTGGTCAAACCTCAAGCCATCGCGACGGTTTCCCAGTGCCAAGGGCCGCGTTTCTTGCACTGGGCGGTGCAACGGATGGTAGGAATCTTGTAACCTTTTGGAGCACCGTATCCCGACGTGCATACAGTTTCATACAGTGTCTCACTGTTTGTTGGGGTATGTTGGATGACCGTCAACCCAGTTCTCAATAGAGACACCTGGCTTTTCCATGTATGCTTCATTTGGCAAAGGTACATATGGGGACTGGCAAAACCACGCTTTTCAACCGGCGTGTATTCTTAAAAGTCCCAACCCACGCCGAACAAGTTTTACAGGGGTGGTTGGACGAGCATCTTGTGTTGGGAAGTTTACGTGAACGAATTTGGACTACGTATGCCCATCCACGATTGCGAGGGCTTTGTTCCAGCCCGGCCGGGATTGTGCCGAAAAGTGGTTCGGAATCTTGCTCATGGTATTCGCTGTTTTTGCTTCAGCAGAACACTCTGTGCTTTTTCCTGTTGGTGTGGGGGAATCGGGTTACTGGCAAGCACATCGTTTGCCGAAGGTTCCGGAAGCGCACATGCAAGCCATGAGGGGCAAGTAGGTGACCAACAAACCTGGAAAATCATAAACCTCGGCTGAAACTGGTATGGGGGTCGCAAACGCAAGGCCGAGGCTCGTTTGAGAGTACGGGGACCCATCGACCCATCATGGCTTCGCTTTCCCTCTGCTTTTTTCAAGCACCCCCAAAAGAATTAGGATTACCCTTTGAACAAAATGACACGAGCTGTGTTTGTAAAACCTCCAGATGGGTGTCATGGAATTTGTCAAGTTGGGTGCTCAAGGAACTAGCGCCTTGAAAACAGAGCTTGGCTTGGTCAGCGTAGGCGCTCCGTTCCGAAACTGGTCTTGGGGTATCGAAGATTTTGACCGTCGCTCTTGTTGCCATTTCAAGAGTATTTGGGGGTGTCTTTTTGCATGTACCCCAAGATGGGGGGGGGGGGGGTTCCTTGTGGTTTCCTGAGAAAACCACCAAAAGAGGGCTCCCCGGACGAAGACAGACCCACTTAACGTACTTATAAATGGGGGGCAAGCTGTGGGTAGTGGACTGACCTGAGGAAGGTGTGTGATAGTACAGGCATCAGTACAATTATGTTTCTCTCATGACAATGAGGTACTTTGGTTTAATTGTGCTCCAAAATCTCACTCTAAGTATCTCACTTCCTGAGTTCCTGGACTTTAGAACTTTGGGCAATGACCGTTTTAGTGGTAAATCAACAGTTTGGTCACTTTTTTGGGCCAATCAGCGAGTTATTTAGGCTCTGGCACCCCTGCTCTCCCCACGCTGCCCTGGAACCGAACAGGGGGGTTCACGGTTTGGGCCATTCGGATCTTCTGGGCACCATGTCCATACGGGATGAGAATGGGTTTATGAAAATAGGCCCAAATCCGAAGAATGGAGAGCTTGGTCGTTGGTGTTCCTTCTTCGGTTGGTTTCCGGTTGGTTTCCCACCAACAAGAGGTTACCCTCCAAAAAGCACCGTGGTATGCTCACGCCAGCTCTGGGACTACATCACCGCATCCAAGCGCGGCCTGGCGCGGCTCCTCTTCGGGCGGAACGGCCCTTCGGTGCCGAGTTGGGGCTGTGGGTTGACTTAAAAGGGGCCACCGGGGTGACAGTTGGCAAGATGCCCTTGTGTGAGCAAAATGAGGGACATGTGAAAATGCTTTCGACTCAATGGGGCCGAAGTGTGAATGGGGATGTGGAGTACTTGAAGATCAAATGAGCTCATGATCTGAAGAGAATCTTGTTTGTAATTACTTGCCGCCGAGCCTACACTCCGTGTGAGGGTGGTTTTGTGCTACCCCCAGTTGGTAGTTTCAATCGGAAGCAAAACAGTTGAAGGGTCCAAGCGGTTGTCACACAGTCATGTTGGGTGGCATATGTGGTTTGTAGCTCGCTTGGGACCGTTTGACTTTTGAGTTTCGTGTCTCGCTCTCTTTCAGCAGGTGACCGCTTACAGTATATCAGGGCGAAAACAGCCTGAATGCGCGTACATGTGCTGGCTAGTTCCTGGGATTAAAGACCACTGCAGCTACGAATCAGTTTGATGCGAAATGGGCAAGAGAAAAAACACAAACTGGACCATTGAAAGAGAAGGACATCAAGGAAGAGTTTGATTGCATAGATGTAATGCGGCTTTAACTACAGGAGACGAACAAGACTATGCACTACTGCTTCAAGGCGGACTTTGGTAACATGATTAACGTCATGCATGTTGACACAGCACATTCATTGGCATCGGGCAAAAAGACAACGGGACGTCACATGTGCAAAACTTGTGAAACAAAACACTTCGAACTTGGCACGTGTATTTCATCCCCCGCATCACCTGCCGCAGGGGTGCAAAAATAAAGCAAAACTAAGCCAGGAGTGAGTCGTGCGTAGAGCTGCCACAGGTCTGCTGGTGATTGCGTTTTCGGCAAGGTGTGAGCCTGACTGGACTTTGTAACTCAAAAAACATTTGCCTGTTTGAACCGATTTTGGGTGGTGTCTTGATGGGGTGACATTTCAGAGCCAAACATCCTTTTGCCAAAAATCGACGCATTCCACTCGCACAGGAGTAGGACTAAGCTGCGGTCAGTCCCATGTATCTTTGTATCTTCAGCCAAACTGAACCGAAGGGGAACAGATGAGAAAAACAGTGGAGCCCTGCAGGACATTGCAATCTGTTTTTTGTTTTTTTTGTACAACACCATACTATTGCTTTTTCCTTCATGTTGCTATTCAACCAGCAATGATTAAGTCCTGCAGGGGGTCTAAGTTTGGTTCTGTGCACTGCCTACATAGATGGTTCGGGAGCTAGCTAAATGACCAGAAGCCCAAACTCCAAGTTTTTGGCAAACTGGGTGTGAACTGGGGCGCCGCAAAGCTGATCGTGGTAGGTTCCTTTCTGCAGGGGACCCCGTTCATTGCCGGTTGTAGAGGGAAACCAAAAGGAAACAAACTCGTGCATCATAGTGCATTAGCTTTTGGGAGGGTCCCCTAAGAACAGCAGACACGCATATGGCTGTGGGTCAAAAATAGGTACCCAGAATGGAACCCTGGTAAATGGAAGCATGGGCTAAAACCTGCGGTCCAATTCCTGGTGGTTTAATTTTGACCCATACCCATATGAGCCACGTGCTCAAAACCCGGGTAGATGAAAGTCAGTCAGGGACAATCCCATCCATAAAGAGCTGCGGATCTCCGCCTTCTTAATTCTTGAAGCATGGTTCTACCACTTTAATACCGGGGGGACCTTTTGGTTGCTCAGGGCAACCCCAACCCCAAACCTCAGCCCAACCTCAACCCCAGCCCCAACCTCAGTTTTGATTCTGACCCATCTGCCGAAACGCGAAGGGCTCGCCTCCGCGAGTCCGGCGAGGCTTCGAGGTGTCCTTGCGCCCACTGCTGCGGGCGATGACGGCGCAGGGGAGGTGGCCGCTGGTGATGAGCTCCAGGCGCGGTGAGGCGTCTGGGATGCCGAGTTGGGCTTCGGAGCATGGGACGGGCTTTCTGGCGTACATTGACCTTGGACGGTTACAAAAATGGAGAGGATGCAGCAAAAGTGATTGTTAAAAGACTTTACCCATTTTTATTCGTGCAACTGGCTTGAAGGGATTTGGAAGGCGTTGGATAGACCAAAAACATGGGGGCGGAGGCGGATTTCAAAGGGTTGGACCGGGCAAAACTGGGCAGGTTTGCAAAGGCCCTGGGAGTACTGCCGAAAAACTGGTTGGGCGTCCAAACAGGTGGCCTTTTTTTTGGTTTCCCTTGCAAGGCCTTGCTAGGGGATCCACCATTTCCGCTGAGAGGCCTTGACAAGAGGACCGTCCCAGCATCCATGTACCCTCAATTTGGTGTGGAGGGAAGTCACTCATGAACGTAGTTTGAGAACACCCCACCGAACATGTTGACTGCAGGAACAGAAACAAACATCATGCCGTCAAATCCGCAAGCAGTTCTTTGGGATCTGAGTACGTTGGTTGTTGGAAGCCTCGTGCGTTGCACTTTCATGACCCTTTGAAGAGTTGCCCACCTGGAAACCGTTCAATGATTGTGTGCTTGATGAGTATTCTACCAGTAAGACTTCCTTAAAAACAGGTGGCCCTCTAAACTTGTAGTTGGTTCCTCTTTGAGGTGTGCCACGATCACACCACAAAGGATTTGACAAAAGGACAGCAACTTGGGTTGTGGGATGGTGAGTGGACACTGTTTTGGTTGGTAGTTTGGACAGCCACAAGGGTTGCCATGACCATGGCCCCAAAAAGGTTTAAGTTTTAAGCATGACTCAACGGAGACGCCAGGGCAGTGGAATATGGAATTTGAAGGTTGCCCCTTTCTGTGATACCTCTAAAGTGATAGTAGTCATAAGGACTCATGCCAGTCACTAGAAAGGTAATGGTTTACACTCCAGCGGTCCCTTTCTTGGGGTGTGTGTGTCTTTCAAATCAATGACAAAATCAAGGTGAGACTTTACACCAGAATTCCCCCCCCCCACCAATTAACATGGAACCTGACAGGGGGAAACGATACTTGTCTGCCAGGACCTCCCCCTGTCAGGTTCCATTTTCAATTGGTGGCAGGGTACTCTAGTGTTGAACCACCTTGTCATTTTGAGCTGGCCCAGCTTTGCCCGCCGTGTCAGCGGCCCGCTGCGACACGAAGAATTCTTTCGGCACAGGAGGGCCGAACGGGAGGGCACACCAAGAATCATACCTTCAGATTGTGCTTTATGAGCCAATCTTTTCTTGGGTGTGTCTTAAAGTTTCACAGAAAGCAGCCTAAACCAAGTGTTCACAACCATGATTGTCAGATGAAAAGTGACCCTCAACCCACCACGGCTGAGTCCAAGCTCCGGTAAAAATGGGGAAAAAACAAGTGGACGCCTGCATGAAGTCCCCTTCCTCCATCGAGCACAACTGGATCACTGGATGTCCGAACCCGCAAAACTGGTACTCGTAATATGGCTTTGGCTCAAATAAATGTACAAACATGGCACTTTGGTACATGGAACCAAAGACTAAAACCCGCGTAACCCTGGCTCCTTAATTTTGAGCCACACCCATATATCTTTCGTGTTGGAATCCCCTTGGTGATATGGCAACCCTGAATGAACATTGAAGTCAGGGAACCCTTAGTTGGTGATTTGGATTGGTGGTTTGGATGTGGATTTGAACGGGTCCCTGGTTCTAGACGCCAAATGGGAAACCGTCCTCAGCAGAACCCAAGCCGCCGATTCGGCTGCAAATGCCACCAACTTTCGAAAGCTGAAGCATCAAAGGCTTCGGCTCCAGCCCGTTGAAACGGCCCGCGACTTCGCGGAAGCGAAGTCGAGGCCCCAGGGCCACGTCACGGAGCTGCCCAGCTGGGAGCTCTGCGCGCTGCTCAGCGGGCGACTGCTGCGCTGGGCCCAGCTGCTGCGGGCGGAGGCGGAGTCGGGCGCGCGTCCGAGTTGAGGGCCGGGTGGGGCCCAGAAGTGCCCCGTTTGGGTTCCGTTCCGTTGGTGTTTCCGGAGGGTCTCTGAAGAATGTGTTGTTGCTTTGGAGTATTTTGAGGGACTTGAACTCGTTTGATTGCTTTGGGTTCCGGTGGTCTGCCTTTAACTTTAACATTTCCTCTTGAACGAGAACGCTTTCGCCCTGGTCTTGCCGAAGAATGTCAAGATCGTGTGCACCCTCTGCTCGATGACCTGGTGGTGCGTTGTCGGGAGGGTTCGTTACTCTAAGAAAGTAATATTGAAGGGGATCTCCATTGACATTCTTCTTGGGCCACATTGACATGAATAAGGAGAACCACAGCTTTGCCAACGAGATTTGGCGGATCATTTTGAGGACGTCACTTAAGTGGACAGAGCGTCTGTATAATGAGGGAATCTCAAGATAGGGGCAGGGATCGCAGTTTCTTTTGGACTCAACATTTGTGGTGTTTGTTTGACCGTTTGAGCTGACAAACACATTGGTCGTCTACGGTCGTGGGCCGTGCCCCAATTTTCACACCAAAAACCAGGAAGAGCGTTCCTTTTAAAAGGGAGCCAAGAAACTGGATGTGGCTATTGGTTCGAACACCCAAAAATCGAAATCCCGGATGCTTGGGTCCACCACAGCTTGCACAATTAAACATTCTCCCGGAAGACATGTTTTCCTCAGAAACAGGGGACCCACCAAATGAGTGTTTCCTGGAAGTGGTCGTGGCCCTAAATACACCTTGCGACAGTGGGCTCCAATGCTTTGGACATGCAAGAGTGGACTCCTTTTCGTCACAGTGTCACAGGAAACGGGATCCCAAAGTTCGGACCTGTTCTTTTTGAATATCCCTCGTTTGATGCCCGGATCAATGCCCCCTAGACATGTCAATGTAGTTGGTTGCTCCAGGTATGGCACACTTGGGGGATTGTGGGATACCATTTTACTTATTTTTCCGGTGACCCCCCCCAATTTTTTTTTGGGAGGGTTTTTCTTTTCGGTTTCCCTTAGCTTACAAACCACCAACCAGTTGGGTACCAATTCCAAAAAGACGAGCCTGAACGCCAAGGCAGGAAGCAAAGAAGGGATCCGATGGTTCTAAGGCTTCGATTGCGGATCCTCAGAGTTCCCAAGCTTCGCGAGAAGGGATGTTGTCAACCAGATCGCTTCGCAGGGAAGCAGCCATGGCTGGATGCTTTCACACGACTCGGTTTTAGGAAAGTCCTCTTGCTTGCATTCTGACCATGACCCTTCTTGAAGGCTGATGTTCGCAACAAGATCCATTTGTAGGGGAGCTGAAATGGCTTGATGTTTTGACACGGCCCGTTGGTTTTGGGTGTAACTTCGGGGTTTCGCTTGGTGACGTACCCAACAGCCCGCTGTGGCTTCAGCGCTTTCGTTTGATCCGCCCCAGCTGCCCCTTTGTCTCTGTCTCAAATCAGCTGGTAAAGCAAAGCCTGGCTTTTCAACATATACCCCAATTCACTTTTGGCAGCGACAAGCGTGCCCCCAACAGTTTCTCACTTTTGAGTTGCTTTGGGTCCCGGCCAATATCCAAACGTTTAACCTCGTTAGGAAAAAAGAGCTGGAGCGGAGGGGTTTTTGCTTGGGGAACCCTTATCCTCAAATGCACAGTGCAACACCATAACAAGGGAGCCACTGCCATTTGGCACAAAGCTTACAGATTAACAAGCAGTTTTGAACGAACCCGTTTTGCGGGTGTCAAAATAGGGGGAGTTCCAAAATGATTGGTTTCCTGTTGGCATCCCTTTAAACCCTCTTTAAATAGGGTACCAACTCAAAAACACACACACACACACACACACAAACCAGGTGCTTTCTTCAATAGCACTTCACAACCGCATGGAAATTAACATAACTTCTGCCCCAGTACTGTGGACAACATCCACTTCGCACCAGTTGGGATTGGTGGTTTCTCCCAGTATTAGGGTTTCAGAAGCATCCGAACTGGAGCAGGGCTTCGTCCATCCGATTGCTCAGATCGCCGAATTTCGGCTGTCAGGGGCAACAGAAGCTGATCTTCCTGGGCATCGGCTCAGGCCTCGTTAAATTGAACCTAGGCATGTTTTGTTCAAGAGAACCACTTCGGTGGCTCGCTTTTTTAGGATTTGGTGGTGGTTCCTTTTGAATTTTTACTTTCCAACCAAGTTAACAAAAAAGGGTACCTTCAAAGAGACACCCACTTGTTCCCCAAGGTTGATGTTTGAATAACAGTGGGTTGAACCTGTGTCCGGACATCCTTCGGCAGGTTTTGTTTGGTTTTCGTCAGGTGTTCAAGGGGGTTACCTAGGGACCGACCCGCATGTTTAACAAGCGGGTGGCCCAACATGGTTGTGAAAACCTAGATTTAGGACCGAATTATGCGGTGCCAGGAGAATTTCCTCAGTGAAAATACAGTCGTGTGATGGGATTGTGGTATAGAAAACATCCTAATCAGCAGCAGGCAAGCAATAGCTCTACTGCAAATAGTATAATAAATGATATGGTGCACACTCACCAACATACCACCAGGAAATTGTAGTCACACATCAAAATCATACATTGGGGAACGCAATTGAATATTGACTGTCAGACACAGGTGGGTCGACTCCGCTAAAGCCTTACATATGAGAACTCGGTAGCATCCTTGCCTACTGTTTGCGGCTGCAACATTACCTTCTCGGCCGCTTGTTGAAATGAGAGTGCTTTGCGTACAGCTTTTAGAGGAGACATGGCTGGAGCCCTGTTCATGTAGATCACCATTTGGGCAACTGATCAAATAATCACAGCCTCACCTGGAGCGCCGGGCCCCTGTGCTCAAAATTGTGTCCTTACACGGGTAAACTTGAGGGTAAACAAAGCTCGCGCGCTTCATCATCGGCCAAATACCGTGACCTCACTGGGTTTCAACATGACGGTTTGGACCTTTTGGACGTGGCGCTTGACCACGTGAGCTTGCATCTGGGGCGATGTTAGGTTGGAAATATGGGGATGGGGGGGGGGGGCGCCTTGGTTTTGATGCGATTCTCAGTAAAGACTATCAGGCTCAACCAACTCAATGGCGACATACTCATACCCTTTGCCGAACTCAAATGACCTTCTTGCCGTTTTTTCCTGTTTGGTTTCCTTCATTTGTCACCCCTTTTTTTCCGCAACAACCATTTTGCTTAGTCCAAGTCCAGGCCAACATATGGTGGTTGATCAATATTCCTGTCCCCCAAATGACCATGGGTAATGGTGCTCCAACCAATGGTCATTTTATGTAAAGGACCTTTTGATCAACCCGCAAACAAGACTTGGACCCAAGTAAAATAGCTGCATGGCGTTTGTTCGCTTTTATCCCCGAATTGTTGCTTCGCTCGCCATAAGAACAAAGAAGGTACAAACGCAACCCATGTGTTGAACACACCCGGACCGGACCCGGACGCGACGGTTCCCGCCAGCCGGTTCCCGGACGCGACGCACCTGGCGAGCGCCAGGGGACGCTTTGGTGGAGGCCGCGGTGGCGTTGCACCTGGGGGCGGCGCTGGGGAAGGCGGTGGATCTCGAGGAGGGGATGGGTCGAAGTTATACCAATTGGACCGCAGGTAGTCCTGGGTTCTATTTGCCGGGGCTTCATGGGCACCGAATTTTGACCCACGGCCACTTCCGGACCCCCGCCAGGTCTGGGGGAAGGGAGAGAAGGGGGAAGGGGGGGGAAGGGGGGAGAAGGGGGGAGGGGAGGGGTGGGGGTGGGGCTTAGGTTTTTCAGAGGGCTTCCTATGCACCATTGCGGAAGTGTGCCCAATGAAAACGCATAGCATCATTTAATATGGCTTGCTCAAAGTCCGCAGTCCAGGACCAGAATCCTACAAACCCAAGTGTGCCTTCGACCTTGGTTGGTTGCATAAAACCCAATGTACTGTTTTCAACTAAAGTGCTATAATACAGATTCCAGCTGGGGTTCGCAGGTTTGACCCTCAACAAGACGTCTCCAGCTCAGCCGAAAAGAAAAAGGTGCCTGGTGGCCGCTTGTGAAGGGGGGGCTATGTGAATCCATATCAAAACCAAAGCGCCAACCTCCTTGATGGTTCAACCGGAACCACAGAAACCCGTTGCCGGGCGGAGTGGATTCGCTGCTGGAAGAAACACGTGTTTCCCTTCAAACACCCAGAAGGGATATCCCACTTGCCATGTTGGTTCTCGTGGAATATGGCGTTTGCAGAGCGTGCACCCCTGGAAGTCCGGCATTGCCTGAGAATTGCCGCTGATTGCGTTGCAATGGTTCAATTCCCCACCCCACCCCCCTCCCCCATTCCCTCCAGATCCCTCCAGCCTCCAACTGTTTTAATGTGGGTGGCTTTTTTTAGGGGTCCCCTGAAAGCTTTGGTTTCCCTTTAACACCCAACAACAGGCACCCTCCAAGCCAGGAGTCGCCTTTGCGGGTGGCCTTTGCAGAAGACTTTGAGATCTGCGCCCCTTGGCGTTTTTAATCGCAAGCCGGACATCCGGCCGCGCGGTGTGGCTGGAAACGCCGTGAGAAAGGTGCAAAGCAGCTTTGCGAAGACAAACTTAGTGCTTTGTTGTCCTGTTGCGTTCCAGAGGGGTGAAATTCGGTTTTCGAATAATTACGTTGGGGGTTGTGGGGAGATGTGGGGAGTTTCCTTTACAGCATATGCTTCGTTTAAGGCAACGAAGCCAATGCTTACAGCAACCTCCATCAGGGGTCCTCCACAGGCTTCAGATCTCCATTCCCCAAACCCCCAAATGTTTTGTGTAGGTTCCTTCCTGCCCCTCGTGGTTAAATATGAATTTCTCTCCAAAACACAGCGCGAGAAGCTAAATTCAGCTGGTTGTGCTGGTTGGGTTCAGCTTTGATGGAATCGAACATCGACTGGCTCTTGGCAAGGGCCCAAAAAAGCAGGTGTTATTTGTCTTAGGCTCAGGGGGAGCGAGGGAGCCAACAGAGTCTGCACCCATTTGGGTGTTTAAAATCTGGGGACCCAAGAATAGATGGTTTGCCGATTGTTGCCGTTGAAACTAACCTGAAAAGGGTGCTATGCGTCTGAAAATGTCGAGCGAAGTTGACATTTCAAGGGTTTCTGCCCAACCCAAGGTCACACCCCAAAGAGGCTCCGAGGAACCTGCAAAAAAGCCCTGGATTTATAAAGTCTAAATAGCACTTACGTCACGGTGGTATTGGAATTCCCCAAAGTTGTCCTAATGGAAGAGGTGTGGCTTCAGACTCTATAAGGACAGCCGTTCCGTTTGTAGTTTGTAGCATGTGGGAGGTGCCCATTTGCGCTGCTACCTCTGCATCAAGGAGCCTTTCTCAGAGTGCATCTGTCGTTTCACAAAGGGACGCACTTTCACCATAATGTTGGCATAGCACTGTGAAGCCCACTTCCGTATCACAGACTGACTTATTTAGGGCACCAGTTGCCCACTGGCACTTGTTTGTCGTGTTGTTTGCTGGGCTTCCCTTTAACATCCACCAAATAGATTTGGGAAGAGGCCTGTATTGCATGCCCAGTAAACCAGGCCCTTGACTTCTTTGCTTACACGGCAGAAACGCACCAACAACACGAGGGACATGAAAGTCACTGTGGTCGAACCAAAATGAGGAATCAACCCATAGAGAAACACTTCAGGTTGCCCAAGCGTTCACCTCCAAGCTCGCTGAGGTTATTGCCACAGACAGCGAGAAGGATGAGGAGAAGAAGTTTCTTGAGGGGGTGGTCTTGTTTTTTTTGCACCAACTGGTTTTCCTCTTCTGTGGGCAGGTGCCCAATTGATTTAAATATAATATCCACCGAACCGCCTGTTGTTCCACTGCAATCACAACCTCTCAAGTTTCCTCAGCTAAAGGAACCCAAACTTCGCGAATTGGAACTCTACCGGCCCGAGCCCAAACCCCCTCATAGGGCTCCAAGGTGGACACCTTGAGGATTTTTTGGGGGTCCTGGCAAACCATGGGCATTTGTGCCGATTCAGAGTGAACTTTTTCTGGGCGGGGTGATGTGTCAGGGCGGGCAAAATAGGAAACCCTGGTAATTTGGGAAAGAGCTCCACAAATGGATTAGGGCGATTCTGTCGCCCTACTTCCCTGGACCCGACGCAGACCCCCTTGAACTCTCTTATGGAGCAGCCATGAGACTTCAGGGGCTCTTGGAACCCAGCTTCTCCTTGAGGACCTGTTTGTGTTGCCCATTTTATGGCAAGCTTGCCGATTCGGGCGGCGGCGCAAAACGAACAAAAGCCACTCTGCATGATACTTGGTTCCATTTCTTAGTTTTGGATTGCTTTTGAAGGACCTCTCGCAGAATCGTGTGGCAGAGGCAGGCGGAGGGAGAGCTGAGGGTGTCCCACTACAACCGAGGTACTATATACATGTATATATATATATACACATGCAGAATGGCACTTGTGATTCAGCCGCTGAAGAGAAGAGGAGTCACGCATGAAAGGATCCTTCATTGGGGTTTTGGTTTCAGACAGAAGCCTTTGTACCAGGTCACGGCGCGTCAAACTTTGTTGGGCCCATGGTAGGGCTGTTTGTGTTGACCGCTTCACCTGTTTGGGGGCTGGAGAGACCGGGTGATCGATCAAGGTAGAAGGGCAAGGTACCAGATGTTGGTTTGTGGCAAATCAAGGCTGTGGGAATGAACTGTTCCTTGCCCTCGATGGAATTTGGGTCTTGCCTCCCCTTTCCCTTTGGGAAGACTAGGTTGAGACAGGGGCTGATGTGGGAAGAGTTTGGTTTCCAGTTCTGTGATACCAGGCGACCTCCTCCTCGGAACTCGAACTCGGTTTGTTTCAACACAAATAGGTCAGGATGCCTCCAAATGAATATTGCTTCCTTCTGGCTTCCTGTTGAGCATCCAAAACGGCTTGGCAAATTAGGGTTGTTGAGGGTTCTCCCGTGAACCAGCGGGAAGTGATCTTCACCTGGGTTCCGTTGTTTCAAGCATCAAAATTGGTTCATGCCAATTTCGTTGGGGATAACCCTGGTGCACAGCCTAACTTGATACATGGGCCGTATGTGAAGAGGTTTCGATCCACGTTACGTTGCCAAAACCGTGTGCTTAGGGAAACAAACAAATTGGCCACCCAGAATTTGTGTCAGCCACTGCATTTCAACTGGGGTCCCTATATTTCCCTTTTTGGTGGTGTTAAACATCACTTTTTGGTCCATAAAAGGTGAGCCGTTGGTGGGGGTGATGTTCTTGAGGGGAAATATAGGGAGCCCTGTTTCAACCCATCGGCTCTATCAAAGTCTCAAAAATATCTGGAGGGAAGGAAGGCAAAGTGCCCACAACAATTCCCCAGATGGTGTAAAGACAAAGGCCAGGACCCAAACGTAATTTTGAGGAAGCCAACTAAAAGTTTTGGGTGGCCCAACTCAGGAAGGTGGCCCAACTCAGGAAGTGAGGCTTGCCCTCCCTCCAGGGTACCTGGAAGATCAATTTCTGGAAGGCGCCATATTTCCCTGTCAGGTGCCATGAATTCGTCAGGAGGTGAGGGTTGATTCGGTGAACTCATTCTAAAGGGTCCCGCGCCTCAATAGAGCCACCGTCAAAACCCGGTAGATGAAGGTAAGGGATAATCCCAACCATAAATGCCTTTTCATTTGTTTTTTTGTACACATGGTTCTGGGTAGCCATGTTAGTACCTAGTTTTGAGTATGACTCATTTCGCGTTTCCTTTCTGGTGCCGCTTATAAACCATCCAACTGGTGGATTCCTTCAAGGGGACTGGGCTCACTCCATCCCATTTCCTACTTATCGCACTGATCGCAAGTTTCCTCCGATCCGGAAAACAACAAATCCAGGCGCCTCGTGAGCTCGACGTGCAGCGCCTGGGCCGCCGGGAGGCGGTACGGCGCTACGCGAAGGAAGCCCCGCTCTACGCGCCGCGGTGGGATGGATTTTTTCGGGGCGGTTTCTGGGTGGTGTGGGTGGCTCGTCGTTTCTTTTGTTTTTTTAGGGAAGCCCTCATGTTTGGTAGGTGTTAAAGGGAAACCGACAGGAAAACCACCAATTTTGCAGGTCCCCAAAAAATATGTGGGTTCTTGGTGGTTCTCCGTCAGCCATTAAGGTATTAGCTGTTTTTGGTGGGTTTGTTTTTGGTTGGTTTGTGGCTTTCTATTTAACCACAAGTAAAATTTGTAGCAGGATCTGAGGACCTCCCAGGCTTTGTGTTTTCCCTAATGCCCTTTTTATTGGCAACGTATTCACGGCACGGAACCCTTGCAAGCAAAATTCGGGTTCTTCAAATGGGCTTGTCTTTTTGGAGGGACCACCCAAAAGGGATTTTGGTGTAGCCTTTTGGTGTCCCGTTAACAAACAAGGGCATCCTCAAAAATAGGGTACCGGCCATGATAGTCATGCTGACCATCCGATGAATAGCTAGCCATCCAATGATATCTGCATGAGTGGTACATTGTGTCCGATGATTAAACAACACAAGATGTCCTTATTCAATATGATTGTACTTAGGGGCCCACTCGATTGCTATTCTTGGGACTTGTTTGAATGAACCGAGCATCTGTGATGGATAACTCCAGGATTGCTTTGAACAGATCTCCCAAAGCGGTCGAATCTAGCTTGATTGCTTGCACAGAACAACCCTACCGCGAGCAATCCGCATTTCATGTCAGCAAACAACTGGAATCCGAGGGTTGCTTCGAACCGAAGGCAAACCCATTTGGGTGTTTGTTTTTCGGGGTGGAGATCCCCAAAACTGGGTGGTTTTCCTTTCGGTTTTAATTGAAGCCATGGGCACCCTCCAAAAAGATGCGCCCATTTGGGGAATTCCCCTGACCCGGGAATGCCGAAGCTTGCGGATTTTCAGAGGCCATCGGTGATGGAACGGTCGGGTGAACCAGGGGTGTTCTTTGGTCAACCGGTCAACCCAACAACCGTTTTCTTCCAGGTTGGCGGGATTTGGAGACGCCGGGCAACACAAGACCTTACTTCTCGCCTCATTCACGCTGGATTATATCCATGTGTGGAGGATACCTTTGCATGGGGTGTGAAAGGGAAGCCAACATGAGACCATCCATGTGTGTACGGGTTTAGCATACTTGACAACGTTTGGTTGGCTTACGCTGCAGATGCTGAGATTCTTCTTGTACAGGGTACATGGGATTCACCCCTCAACCGCCGAACCACCAGTTAGAGGAAAGCTCTGGTTTTGCCTTGTCCAACAATCGAAGTTGTGCTCGGCCCCCAAGGTCTTCAGCTGCTGGATGCCCATGCACGCCGTGTGGTGCTCTGACGTGGTGGAGGATGCCGGCACCCAACTCGCTGAGCGACTTGGCCAGATTCGCCCAGGAGAAAATGTCGGGGTAGTTTGGGGGTCCAGTGTGGATTTCTCTACAAATGCTGCTTTTTGGTGGGTTTCAGTTCTCTCTCTCTCTCTCTCTCTCTCTCTTTCTCTCTAATTTGTATCAAGATATAACATTGTTTCGCCTGAAATCTGTGACAAGGTCCCTGAGCAGATCCGAGCTCCTCACCAGGAGGTGTTGGTTTTCGCTCGGCGCTCCCAGCGCGTAGCGAGGATGTGCTTCCTCTCCGCGCCGCCGGAGCTAATCCAGGTGCCGCGTCAGGACGGGGTTTGGTCGCCAGATGGCTTCGGAGTCGGTCTGAATCCAAGGGGAAGACAGAGGTCCCCCAGTGCCCTTTGACCGTTTCTTTTTTGGGGGAGGGTTCCCCTAACATAGACTACAGAGAAAAGTTGGTACCCTTATTCTAATTTCTCTACTGGAGGACCTAGCAGAGAAGTCGTGACCCGTCGGCTTGGTGGTATGGGAAACCCTTAACCACCAAACCACCAATTGGAAGGAAGCTGAAAAATGGGTGGGTTGTTTTTGGTTTTCCTTGAAAGCCCCAAAGGCGGTGCGGTGGTTGGGATTTTGGTGGTTTGGATTTGAACCCTGGCTTTTGCAGAAGGTTTTTTGGGAGGACCCTGAACCACCAAACCACCAATCCAAAACCACCAATTGGAAGGAAGCTGAACAAATGGGTAACTCCAAACAAAGACACACCCATGTGTGAGGGACCTGGGAGCTTGAAAGTTTTCAGGACACCTGTCCAAAGTAGCACGAAGGTCCCCCAGGGTGGCTCGTTTTGTTTGGAGTTGGTAGCCCTTTTTTGTACTTTTCTTTGGGTAATCCAACAGGAAAACCATAACATTTTCGGTTCGTACATCTTTGGGGGTAGGCCAACAGAAACCAACAGGAAACCACCACAATTTTGGGGGGTCCCCTGAAAGATACTTTTTCGGGTTCCCGGAGCCCTGGCGACATGTTCAAGCAAACCAGCTGGAGGATTCCCTTGTGAATATCGGGGGATTGGCCTGGAAACCGGCCACTCAGGGGACGCTGATTTTGGTCACTGTTTGGAGGTGGCTTCCGCAGGGAATACGCCAGCTCCATTTATAACCTGAATGCATGTTTGGGAGTTTCTGGCGAATCACTTGGGAACAGTTGCATTAGTCCTTGAACGTGGGAAGGGGGGGGGTTCTGACAATTGCCATAGTCCTTGAACGTGGGGGGGGGGGGTTCTGACAAATGCCACCAAAGAGCAAGTTTGCAATATGGGGGTTGGTCCAAAGCTCCTTTTCATGGGATGACCAATGGCGAAAATCACTTGACAAAAGTGTATTTGCCACGACAAGTTACCCATGGTCATTTGGGTTCCCTAAATGGAATCTTGGTCAATCCCCAGGGGCCAGCGATATTTGATCAACCCCCATTTGTCAGTTTTTGTCCACCGGGCACGGACTGATGCAGATGTCGAGGAGGTGCACCGTGCCGCCACGGCGCAGATGCTGGCGACCCAGGAGCGGCTCGGGGCTCGGATCGAAGTGGCGGCTCACATGAAGATGGGGGTTCAAAGTGGCGAGCCAACCTTACGACCACCTCCAGGCAGTTCCCAGGTTTACAGGTTCATTTCAAGCGCTTAGATCATGAGTCGCGTAGAACATGAGTCATGTAGCACATAGGCTGAAATGAAGACAGAATTCGGACTCATGCTAGATCTTGAAGACATGAATTGGAAATCATCGAGTCGCGTTCGCTTTCCGCGAGGAGGTGTTTCCCAAGACGCTGAGTCGCTGGGACTTCCTGGCATCAGGCGGGGCGCCATAGGGGAACCCCTCACAAGGGGAGCTTGCACCTGCAGTCCTGTCTAGATTGAGTGTACCCCAACCCCCATTCAAATTGTTGCCCCAAGGTAGGTGACCTTCTGCCTAATTTATCAGTCTCGATCGATTCCACTATCCAACTCCTATTTAAGGTCGTGGAACTACAACATGTGCAGAACCTGGATTTCTTCGACCCAGAGAAAAGCAGTTGCCTTGGACGGATTGATCGCTCACTTGTAACCCAGAAAGCCGAGGGCCCGGGAAGGGGAGTCAAGGACACCACCAGCCGATGCCCATGGGGCCTGTGCCTGCGAGACGAGTTCCAGGGTTTACCTGGAACTCGTCACTCAATGAAACTGTTCGGGAGTCGGGAAATGTCGCAGGTGTCAAGTCTTCATGGTTTTGGGTGAAGACTCCAGATGGGTTCCAGCTGCGAGCAAGGGAACCATCATGATTCCATCTCGGAGGTCCAGTTCGTGTCAACATATCCGCACCAGCCACATTTCCAATCACAAGAATGAGCTGCTTAAGGATCCAGCTGCAACCAGACAACTGCCATTTGCTTAAGAATACTTGTTATTTTCCCCTGCTGGTTTTAAAAGGAATTTATCACTACTGGACATTTTTGTTTTTCCAGGGGTCTTAACCAATTGGAAGACAAGCAATTAGAACCAACAGTTTCCCACGAGAGGTTTGTTCAACATGATTCGGGAGTCAATTGCATCAAGTGAGCTAGGGGACAAACACTCAACTTCGCCACATCCCTTTGTTTGGTCCTCCATAGCGGGGGCCATCCCTGGATTCGCCTGGGAAAAGGCCCTAGCAAGGCCTGGCAAGTGTTTTGTTGAGAACCCCGCCGCCTCCCCATAGGCCCTTTGGAACAAACAACAACGAGCAGGTCGCAGGACACCTGTTTTTGCTCTTCTGTCAAGACATCCATTGGCTATTGGGTATTTCGAGTTAATGGTGAGGATTCGGTGAGGATGTCACTTTAGTTGACGCGGGCATTGGCATGGTCCTGTTGCACTTTGCGTTGGCGCTGGATATGAAAATGCATGCACTTGGCTGAGACTGTCTAGTGTTACTCCGCAGTTGAAAGCCCCGGAGGGTACCCAAGTTAAGGCAACACGCGTTTGATTCCTGAGACAGACCATGCAGGCGTCGTTTGACTCAAGTGGCCGTGCTTGTGTGGGCGCGGTGCAGATGAGCTTGCATTCGCAAGACTTTTCGAAGCACATTCTTGGCCAAATCCTGATTTCGACAAGTCGAGCCTGTGGAACTGAAATGCAACGAGGGTCAGGTTCTATTGTTCGGTTGCCACCAAAGGGAATTGAAGCTGTGGAGAGCGATTGGCCCCTTTTCCTGTTACGTGCCTACATAACAAGGCCTCCGTCTCACACCTCCGCAGGATTTTTTCATCTGCAGGTTTGGTTTGGCGATGTCAGGCCCTCGGGCATCCAGGTAGACTTAACCCCAGTTCATTTTCTCAAAAGGTATTGGACCCCTGTGGTTTTGCCATTTGCTTTGCATGGCACGGTCATGGTGAAAACCTCCTTGTAAATGCAAGATGGAACCCTGACCTGGCGCGTTCCCACGCGAACGAAGCCAGGCTTCGCGCTTGGCGTGCTCCTCGGCGCGCTGTTGAGGTTCGGTCGAACAACTCTGCAGAACATGAAGCCCCTAGAGACCGCCATTTGTAGAGACCGCCATTTGCAGAGCACCCATGTTGACGTGTGGAAAAGCATCCAGCTGATTCCAGATGGCCAATTTCGGATTGAGGACATGAGGCGCCGTCCCACAAAACCATTCAAGGAAAGCACCTATTGGGACCTTGGCTCACGGGCGAATAGTCGACGGTGCGAACAGGGTACTTTCTGAGCCTCAACAAACGCTCATGTTAATTTGCACTACTGTCAGTTGAGGGGAGAGTTCCCAAAATGACCCCATTCTGAAATTCGGGGACTATAATAAATGCAGCCTCGAAACGAGCCCGTCCTCAAAGGGCCCCGGTTGACCACAAATTGATTAATGAGCGGATTCTAACGCGATTTCTCCAAGAAAACAGAAACGTGTCAGTTTTTCCGGCTATAGGGTAAGCTTGTTTTTGATGTCGCGGAAATATCAGTGGCCCTGGCAATTTAGCCGGCGAGGCCAACTCCACTGCCTGGTCGTGACAGTTTTCAACAGCTGTTGGGTGGCGTGCGGAAAATCCAGGGAGGGTAAATGAGGAACCGACACGCCTGAATGGTTCGAAGCCTTCCAACAAAAGGTCCCACTTACGATTTGGGCATCTCATGAACTCATGACCTTTGCCACTATATCTGGGGTGCGCTCCCATTGTAGCTGGCCCAAGGGGTCTCTTTCGGGACTCACGGCATCGCAGCAAGTTAGCCGCACTTTCAATTTGGGCAAAAGCGCCAGTGCGTGCGCGAGCAGCAAATGGACTGGAACTGGAACATGAAAATCATGTGATTATGGGTTTTGCTGGAAACCCGGTAGTGCTGTAGTAATTCTTCTTCCAAAGCTTGGTGGTGCTGGCCTTTTCCTCATGTGGAGGCAAGCCACAGAATGCCTGTGTTTTTTGAGGGTGCCCTTTTCATTTTGGGTCACAGGGAAAGCAGAAGGACACCACCAGATTCAGGATCTCACCTATTCTGTGACACCCCCGTTTGATTTCTCTTTGGTGAATTGTTCTCAACTTTCCCAGGTGAGGAGGGCCTCTTCCACAGCCAGCTCTACATCACAGCAGCTGGGACTGAGCGCTTGAAGATCACTGGGTCAAGTTGCCTAAGCGTCAACACGGGCTAAGACCATTTTCTGCACCAAACACAGAAACCTGTATGAATTCATTCCTAGTTCCAGACCAACTGGTTTTGGCGCACACCCAGCTTCCTCTTTGGGAGTGGGTTGATCTTAATATTTGAAGGTGAGACACAGAGTCTCATGTTTCTGCGACCTGACTGGATTGAACTCGATACTCAAACTCCAAATAAGCCAACACAGCATTCCCCCAAGCCCAAAGACACCACGCCAAACACGGTCGGCGACAACACAAATAAACACATTTGAAGGTCCAGGGGTGTGCGGTTGAAAAGTTCAAATGGAGCCGTGCTTGGCATTTACAAAGGAGGTTTGATCCAACTCAAACAATGAAGAAACGAGATCCCTTCAAAGCACAAGTAGGCTTAGATGTGTGCACATGTTTGCAATTCATACATGCATGTGCGATGTCATTCATGTTGTCAGCAGGTTGGCAGTTCATTTCTTGTAGACTTGTCCATTGTTATATGCATTGAGTTATTCATACAAACATGGATAATTTACATAATATGTGCCTACGCCATACAAGCATACCAACATGTATGCGTACACACCTTTGCCCATGTACAATTATACCTATACATGTCATTTCCTTACGTGACATCAGATTACATCACAAATCACATCACATCACGTCACAGTGCAAGGCGCTGCGCTGCACTGCGCTGCACGTTGCATTGCATTGCATCACATTCAGATAGCATAGTATAAAATTCAACACACACGCATATTGCAAAAGGGGCCGAGCAACCAACCAACCAACGAACCAAAATAAGCAACCAACCAACCTACCAAAAACCACCAACCAAAATCAACCAACCAAAACCAACCAACCAAAAACCAACCAACCAAAACCAACCAACCAAACACCAACCAACCAAAACCAACCAACCAAACACCAACCAACCAAAACCAACCAACCAAACACCAACCAACCAAAAACCGACCAACCAAAAACCAACCAACCAACCAAAAAACCAACCAAACCAAACCAAACCAAAACAAACTAAAACAAACCAAAACCAAACCAAACCCAACCCCAACCCAACCCAACCCAACCCAACCCAACCAACAAACCAACCAACCAACCCACCCACCCACCCACCCATCCACCCACCCACCCACCCACCCACCCACCCACCAACCGACCCACCAACCGACCCGACCGGACCGGACCTGACCTGACCCACCGACCCAACCCAACCAAACCAAACCAAACCCACCCAGCAACCAACCAAACTACAGACAGGCAGGAAGGTTTGCAGGCAGCCGGACAGCCAAAAAGACAGATATTGTACATTGATGTCATTCACGTGTACATTCGCCTATTTTGTGCTCACATCGTCAGGTTTTGGAACTGCGGGCATTTGCAGATGTGCTGGTCCTTCTTTCATGAATTCATAGGTCATGACATCTCGTCACCCTCCCTCCAACAATCATGGAAGCTGACAATAGGGTTTTGGAATCCTACCTTTTCTTTTGCGGAAGCCAACTGTCCACTTGCGTGATTGCTGGCGAACGGGCACATTTCTTTCTGTTTGATTTCCCTTTTCCAATCAGAGGCCCGTCGCGGCGGGCCTCCGTGTGATCCCCCGGCCCCGCTGCTGCACACTCTGGGCTGCCTCTTGGAGTGAAGGAGTTGAGGCCCGAAGAATCGAAGAAATGTGTGACAAACAGGGGGTTGCTTCTGTTTTTCACGTTTGGCTTGTTTCCACCCTTTTTTGTTCTGGCTCATCAGGGGTTTCAAGCAGATGGCGCTCTGCCCTTTATGTCCGCAAGGTGACTACACGGAATACCCACACCCACATGCCCGTCCGGGTTGGTTGGTTTTTGCCAATCCTGAGTGGATTTGTCTTTTGGCTTGCCAAAAACCAGCCTGTGAAAGCCATTTGGGTCACATTGAAGATGGGGGGAGGACTCTCCCTAAGTTTCGGAGAAACACCGAGTCTTGAATTCAAGCAAATTCAATTTCTGAAGGTGGGGGGAGACATCACTGAAACTTTCAAACAAATTCTGAATTCCCAAGGCTTCAGTTGATTCGCTGGCAGCTGCAGCGTTTTGCTCTCGTGTTGAATCCTTTTTTGGGGGTCCTTGGAGGAGCTTGTTGTGTTTTGTTTGTATCCAGAAAGCAAAACTTGCTCTGAGACCTTGCTCAGAGAGCCTTGCTCAGAGAACTTGCTCAGAGAGACTCAGAGAACTCGCTTAGAGAACTTGCTGTCTATTTAGGCTTTGTTTTCTAAGGCGGCGGGGTGGGACTGCTCGGGCTCTGCGTAGATCTGTGTGGTCGAGGCTCAGAAAGTCAAGGTGTGTGCAACTTGCCCATGGGCACACTATCAAACAGCAAAACAACCATCCGGGACCCCACTTCTCAAAATATCCACACCAGTCTATTACAATATGATGTAAATCCCTCGTTCAAAAGAAGCCATTTGCTTTGGAAAACCAGATTCTCGAAATCGACCCCGGAAAGAAAAAGGATGACTGGCCCGAAGGCCTGAAAACATTGTTTCCCCCTGGAGATTAATTCTCCATGAATTTCCTGGTAGTTCTCGTCTTTAACTTGCTTTTCCTAAATATCGATGCTTTTTTCGTGAGGTTGCCTAAAACGACTAAAACTTCTATATGTTCGTGAGATTGCAGCATTGGTCCCTTTTTACGTTTTCCCGCCCGGAATTACCCGCAAAACGCCCGCAAAAAGCCCGCAAACGCCCGCAAAACCCTGCAAAACCGCGCAAACGCCCGCAAATCAGAAAAAGACGTTTTTGGGTTCGGGGATCGCCCAAAACTCCTAGAAACCATTCAGAACGTCCAACACACCCAAGACTACCAGGAAACCAAAACGCCTAGGAAAAGGCCGGAGAATGAATCTTCAGGCCGGACAAATCTTTCAGCGAAGCCGCCAGAACACGCCCTGCAAGCCACTTACACTCTGCTCAAGTCTCTCTGCACAGGTTGCTCTGCGGACGTTGCTCTGCGCAACTTGCCTTTGCTCTGCACAAGTTGCTCTGTGCAAGCTGCTCTGCTGCGCAGGTTGCTCTTTGCAAGTTGCTCTGCGCAAGTCGCTCTGTGCAATGTTGCTCTGTGCGAGTTTCACTGCGCACTATCTGCCAGCGCGGCTTGCTCAGCGCACTACGCTCCTATCGTACTCAGATTTTGAAGCTGGAGCTGCAGGAGCGTACTTCGCGTAATGCGTTTGCTGTGAAAAGCTGCAATGGTCGAGCTCGAGCTGCGGAGCGTACTTTGCGCGCTACTTTCGTACTGAACGCTGCAAAGCCTGCCCAAAGGGGGAATCGAACACGGGAGCCGCCGACCCTTCCAAGAACCCATCTAAGCATCAAGAAGTAGCAAAAGCACTCAGTTTTGCACATCGACCACGCTGATCCCCACAAAGGGCCGCGGATTTTTTTAAAAGTCGGTTTGTTTGTTGGAAGAAGTTTTGTCCATTTCCCCCCCCCCCCCCCCGCGGATCCAATGTTGGCTTGCCGTTTGGTTCCCCTTTAAGCACACCAAAAAGTCGTACCGTCAAAAAGTATATATGTTCTTGATTCGCGATGGGAACCGCAAGGCGGATATGTGCGCAAATCGCCGAGAATGAGCAACCCCTGAACCCATAGCAGTCCTTGTTGGCCCCTTCTGGAGTCTCCTTGCATATCTTCATGTTCACTAAATAACCAGCATTTGAACAGACTGGCTGAAAACCGTAGGATGAATACAGGCCTAAAGCAACCCTGGTTTTTCAAACTTGTTCTAAGCACGGGGCAAAGGGAGGTTGGAATCTCTGGAGCCGCAGGGCAAAAAGGGTATATCTCGCCCGAAAACTGCGGCCTACACCTCCCATGTTGGATCTTGTCTGCATGAACTTATTTTACGTCTTGAGGTGTCTCTCTGACTATGTACCAGGATCGCGTATGTTGGCTTGTACATACGGGGCAACAGCTGAGGCTGAGTTGTTGGTTTTGTGCGTCCAAGGCTACCGCGAGCGGATGCTTTCGGACTCGGACCTTACGGCGGTGAACGTGTGTCGCGGCGTGGGCCTGTTCCACGTGCATTCGCGGCAGGCGGGGCCCAAGAGTTCCCTGGGTTCACATGAGCCACGTGCTCAAAACCCGGGTAGATGAAGGTTAGCAAGGGACGATCCCAACCATAAATAGCTGCGGATATCCGCCTTCTTAATCCTGTACATGGTTCTGGGTAGGCCATTTTAGTACCAGGTTTTGATTGCGACTCACATGGAATTGCAGAGTTGACTTTCCATTGTCTTCAATCAACCGGCTATGCGCCTCAGAGCACGTCGCTCTCGCTCTGGGTTGGGTGAGGACTGTCCGCAGCATCCTTCCCTCGCAGCTCGTCGTGGGTTTGGTGTTGGGAGCCATGAGCAATGCGGAAAGCGGACAATGAAACTTTTTGCAGGGGGTCTAAGGCCGGGCAAGATGACACCCAGTGGGCAGCACGACTCTTCTCCAAGGCCGCAACTGTTGGAATTTGCCATGCGCATACACTTGGCGGGTATCTGGTCTGGTCAAGGAAGATGACGTAATGAGAACTGACGCGTCACGAGGCAAGGAGCTGGAGACAGGTTTTGGTTGGTCTTCTGTTCAGCCAGAATAATGTTTCTTAAGCAACAACTGCTAGCCAACCTCGATTCTTACGCGGCAACCTCTAGCCAACATTGTGAGTGGCTTCACTTGGTTTTGTTTTAAACAAGGCACTCCTCCAAAATGGAAGTTCCTTGTGGTTTCTTGCTTCAGTCAGCAATCCAAAGTTGGTTCTCCTTCAGCAAAAGCGCCAATCTATCTTAGTCTTTGTGCCCAATTACGGGAACCCAAAAAGTAAGTGGCGTCGCACTGCAAAGACGTAGCCTGAAAAAGGGCTACCCTCCCGGCCTCCAATCATGGAAGCTGACTGGGTCATTTTGAAGACTACTTCCATGTTTACGGGAATCCCCCGGCACCCACTTTCACGTTTCCCTTGAACCCTCCCCTTCTCTATTTGCCAGCGAAACCAACCCCAACAGTGGAGCACCTCTCGGCTTCCCTTTCGTTTCCCAATCCGAAAAACGCATCGCCCCTCCGAAAGAATCGGCAGTGGGTCAAAAATTAGGTGCCCAGAATGGAGACCTGGCAAATAGAGCCAAGGACTACAACCTGCGGTCCAATTCCTGGTGGTTGAATTTTGACCCATACCCAATTGGGTCCTCGCCGACCCCGGCCCCCAGCCGTCAGGACCTGGCGGCAGCGGTGCCGGGCACCACGCTGCTGAGCCTGCGCCAGGCCCTGTGCGAGCCGGGCGTCCAGGACGGAAGCGGCAGCTTCTGGCGCCGAAGCCGGAAACCGCGGCGACACCTTTGGGGGGGCATTGGAAGCCCACGGGGCCTATACGGAAGTGGTTGGAGGGGTAAGAGGGAAGAGTATGTATAATGTGCCGGGGAGAGGTCTGGGCATCAACATCACACTGAGAGCTGGCTTTCAGGCAGATCTTGTATAGGAATTGATTTCATAAAATTGCAAATCTTAGTCTGAGAAATTGGCTTCCAGGGGAATTTGGTAGGAATGAAATTGCAGATGTTACAAATTAATTTGTAAGGTAAAGAAAATATTCTCCAAAAAACCAAATTTTACAAATTCTAGTCTGAGAAATTAGCTTCCAGGGGAATTTGGTAGGAATTAAATTACAAATTTTACAAAATTTACAAATTTTACAAATTAATTTGTAAAATTTGTAAAATATCAAAAAAATCTGGCCCAAAATTACAATTGTTTCAAATTAATTTGTAAAATTTGTAAAATATATAAAAAACATCTGGCCCAAAATTACAAATTTTACAATTTTTACAAATTCTAGTTTGAGAAATTAGCTTCCAGGGGAATTTGGTAGGAATTAAATTGCAAATTTTACAAATTTTACAATTTTTACAAATTAATTTGTAAAATTTGTAAAATATCAAAAAAAACTGGCCCAAAATCACAAATTTTACTTTGTAAAATTTGCAAATATCAAAACAATCTGGCCCAAAATTACAAAATTTACAAATTTTACAAATTAATTTGTAAAATTAGTAAAATATCAAAAAAATCTGGCCCAAAAATACAAATTTTACAAATCTTACAAATTAATTTGTAAAATTTGTAAAATTTGTAAAATTTGTAAAATTTGTAATTTAATTCCTACCAAATTCCCCTGGAAGCTAATTTCTCAGACTGGAATTTGTAAAAAATGTAAAATTTGTAATTTCGGGCCAGATTTTTTTTGATATTTTACAAATTTTACAAATCAATTTGTAAAATTTGTAATTTTGGGCCAGAATTTTTTGATATTTTACAAATTGTACAAATTAATTTGTAAAATTTGTAAAATTTTGCAAAATTTGTAAAATTTGTAATTTAATTCCTACCAAATTCCACTGGAAGCTAATTTCTCGGACTAGAATTTGTAAAATTTGTAAAATTTGTACAGGTTTTTTTTGATATTTTACAAATGAATTTGTAAATTTTTTAAAATTTGTAATTTTGGGCCAGATTTTTTTGATATTTTACAATTTTTACAAATTAATTTGTAAAATTTGTAAAATTTGTAAAAATTGTAAAAATTGTAAAAATTGTAATTTAATTCCTACCAAATTCCCCTGGAAGCTAATTTCTCAAACTAGAATTTGTAAAATTTGTAAAATTTGTAATTTTGGGCCAGATTTTTTGATTTTTTACAAATTTTACAAATTAATTTGTAGAATTTTTAAAATTTGTAATTTTGGGCCAGATTTTTTTGATATTTTACAAATTTTACTTTGATATTTTACAAATTTTGCAAATTCATTTGTAAAATCTGGAAATTTCACTTTTTGCACATGTACTTGCGAAATTTGTGAAATGCTTAATTGTTAACCATATTTGTTGGAATTTGGCATAGTTCAGAAACTAATCTGCAAAATGTGTATAACTTGTAATGTAACTCCAGCCAAATCTCCCCGGAAAGCAAATTCCCCAGAGTACGTTTCAATGTCAGCAAACATCCGATTTAAAATTACAAACTGGATTTGAACAAACATTGCTCGGGGGTTGCAAATTGCACAAGCTAGTTTGTAAAAAGTCGGTCCAGAATTACACAAATTACAAGTAAAGGTGTGAACATTGTAAACTTGATAAAACTTGATCACCGTCCTTCCCTTAACGGTTTTTTTGGGGTCAAGTTTGTTTCATTTTGAATCGGTTGAAGTTTGGTAAGGAAATGGGGAGGAAAGCATATTATCTTTTCATTTGGAATCTCTCTTTTCTGTTATTTCCATGTTTGTTTTTCTTTAGGATCTCGAATTCATACTCCTTTCTTTATCTTTCACTCTCTCCCCTGACCATCTCTTCCTACAATCAACTCAATAAACTAGGATGGAAAAGACAAGGATAAAGAAATAAACATAAGATAGGTAAAGGAGAGAGGACATCTTCTGTAACACGCTTCTTTTGGATAACTTTCATACCACACATACCTGATGGAGAAAGAGATGGAGAAAGCCGTGCAAATAGAAAGACATGGAAAGGCTACTGGGATTGTGGGATGGATTCATTTGTATCTCAGAGATTTTTTCGCATACCAGGTTAGACCAATCGATGACGGTAAGGGAAAGGGAAAGGTGTGAAAGAACAAAGAATGATGAAGAAAATCTTCCGCCCAGACATCACGCAGAATACGCCAGATAGCCTGTCCGTGAGACTTGGAGGATATGATGATTGAAGATTCCCTCACTATCCCTTTCCAGCCTGTCTTTGGGGCCTCTTCCAAATCATTGCCTGTTTCCTCTTGTCCATCCATCCTCATCCTTTATTTGCATTTATGGATGGGCAAGAAGTGACGAAAGCATTTGCAGGCAGTAATAATTACGGTAGAAAACGTAATATCCTCCCTTTCTTTTCAAAATCCTGTTTTATACAAGCTAACAACATAAAAAGGGCGCGAGACAGTTATGACAAAGCTAAAGATAATTATGGGTGGTGCTTCCAGAAGCTATCTAATTTATTACGTGCTAATACATGCTTCTAATCTTAAAACCATACTTACATTCCTCGTTCTTTTCTATTTTATTCTTCCCTTGTTGAGATTCATTACGCTATCTTTCTTTGTGAATGCTTTTGGCTGTCCGGTCGTCGCTGGGGCTCACCGAAAAAAAAAGAGATTATGAGTAGGTCTTACTCATATTATTTTGCTTGTGTTTTACTATCTTTTGGACCTTTCATCCTTCCCCTTCTTCTGTTTCCCTTTTCAACCGTTGAAGAATGCCAGAAATCGAGGGGTGAAGGAAGGAGGGAGAAGCTAGCCCCCCCGTTCCTTCTTCTCCAACTGTATCGCTAGTGGGGAGAAGATAGGAAGGAGATCAACCGTTCCATCTTTACCTTTCCCTTCCCCACTACGTTCTGGAGTTCTGTCACTACGAAAGACTCACGATGGAACAGTCTAAAAGTGGGACGGAGGAAGGGGATATTGGCTTTATTTTTGGTTTATTTGTAGAAAAAGAAAGCCACTTTCCACAACCCGCTTCTTTCTGTAAAAACACAGATGGAAGAAGATGACCTTTCCTTTCCCGGCCCAGCCAACGCTTGTCATTTTCCTTGCCTTGTCTTTTACATTGCCATGTTTTGGAAATGAAGAAGTAAAGCGTCTGGCAAGGAGGTAAGCGCCCATCAATACTAATTGAAGATAACGAATTGGACACTTACCATGTCTTTCTATCACTTCTTTCTTTCCTTTTGATGAAATTGAAGATTGAAAATGGGAAGTGAGAGGCCTCTCTTGACTTCTTCCTCAAGCATAGGCTGCTGTTAATCTTATGCCGTGTGATGCTTGGGAAGAAGAAGAAGAAGAGAAGATAGGAGAGGGTGAGCAGAAGTAACGTGATTCTTTCTTTTCCTCCGATCGCATCCTGATTTTCCCACGTATGTCACCCACCAACATCTTCAACCCATAAAGATTTGACTACAGAATCCTGAAAACCTTTTTAATAGCAAATGCTAGCGGTCTCTCTCTTTTGCTAATAATCTTCTGGAAATGAAAGGACAATAATAGAGTTTTAGATCATAGGATGGTGTAAGGACTGGGTTCTTCTCATCGTTGACGTCCTTTCCTTGTCCAAGTCACGCAGAAAGAGAGGTTGGTTTGTGGTCCCAAGAGCTTGTATCCTTCCCTTTCTATCTCTTCCACTTCATCCAGGAAACATTTGTGGATGGACATGTCGTTATTAAGATCATTGCCTTTCGGTTTACCATCCCATTTATTGCTTGAATGTCTATCTTTGTTGTCTTCCATTCACAATATTATCTGAGAAGTATAGAACTGCTTCTGGGTGTGAGGTTGAAAAAATTGGCGATGTAAAGAAAATCACGATGGTTGGAAGAGAAAGTTAATCATTACCAAGAATAGGTTCATAGTCTCTCATCTGCTGGTTGCATTCTCATGTACTTGTTCACTTTGCAACCTTTCTACTTGTTTATCTATCTTCCCAATCTCTCTTTCTCTCTCTCGCATTGTAAACGTTGGAGGCATCTGGATGGGGGAAAAAACCCGAGGGGTAATAACAAATATGAAGAAGAGGAACTGGCTAACACTCCTTCTGCTCTCCCGTTTTTCGCGGCTATCAGGATTAGTAAGAATAACGAAAAAGGCCTATGAAGAAACATAATAGATACATAAATAAATAAATCAATAGGCAAATGACAGAACCAAGAACATGAAAGTAATAAATAATGTTAATAAATGAAACTGTTTATTGGGAGACACATTATTCTTGTCCATCAAGAACCCTCTCCAACACAGTGAAAAACCTAGAGTGGACAATGATGGATATGATAGAAAACGCAATAAGAGAATAAAACGCAGTAAGCTATGAGATTACAACGATTCTGTAATTATTGCCTTTAAATTCACCCCGTGACCACTTCATCCCATTTACACAAATATATTGGAGAAGATATTAGTGCATGATGAAGAATATACACAAATTATAACCATAGATAGTTTGCTTGACTCTGAAGAGGCTGTTGGTCTTTACTCATGGAGTTTATTTAGTTGTATCTTCTTTCTGCTTTTGTTCTGTTAGAATTTCCTTGCAAAATCTCTCACTCACTTCCTATTGTATCATTAGACATGTGCAATATTCTTGAGTTTTAGGTGATAATGAAAAGGATATTAATAGTTCAAAGTTGCTGGAGAAGGACGGAACACTATTTACGAAAGGCTATTTATTTACCAGAATCTCATGAGTAATGTTAACTAATTTGTATCGATTGGGGTGTATTTCTCACCTTCTCTTTTTAAGGGGTTTCCTTTTGCCTCCCAAGCTAATACTTGTCAAATCCTACTGAATCAATCTTCATTAACAAAATCATGTTCATCGCTAGAAGTGACCGAAGGAAGTTAATAGTTTTCTCATCAGAATATTGCCTGTCCAAATAGAGTGATGAATGAAGAGACGCTTAACTGTTATTATTGCTTAAGTGACGTCTCACGGACAGGCTACGTCTCCAGACCCGTTTTTATATCTCTCTGATTGTTCTTTCCTTTTATGTTTATTTGACCAGCATTTGTTTACTATTTACTTCTTCCTCACTGACGTTCGATCTTCTCTAACTCTGTTATCTGTTACTGTGGCTTTTATCATTTGATTAACATTCTCCTCTTTCCATTTCCATGCTCTATCTTGGTGAGCCAGCAAACGTTTTATTTAGAAAAAATATGGAAGTGATAGATAGGAGGACATCATTATTTGTTTCTATTAATACTACTTCACGAAGGTATACCGTGTGCTTTTATCACACTCTCTCACAACCAAAGAGAGGATGTTCATCTGGTCTTCATCACCCCTCACCCTTTTTTCTATTACTACAAACTAGCTGGTTCTTTCAGGGTGGGGCATGCCAAGACATTCCTGATTGCACCAAAAGAGTCCATGTGCAACAATGAGCCGTTCTGCTCTTGAAGGCGCGCGGCGGCACATTGTACGTAATCTTCCCTGCCGGGGGGGGGGGCAACAATTGGTATCTCTGGACAAGCCGGGAACCAAGGAGCCCTTGAAGCCTTATGAAGGGGAGGGATCGCCTCCCCCTGTTTATTGCATAGCCGCCCCATGACTATGGTTGGTTGACTAAATTCGAAACAGAATCAGAAGGTCATACTTTTGGCCACGGACCAAGTTTCGCAACGTCGTTGCAGGTCCGTTGCCTTCTGTGTTTTCAAACTCACGGGCCGTACTCCCATACACGTTTACTTTGTACCAGGGAAATCAATGGAAGGCACCGTGGATTAGAGTTGCCCTTGTATCAATTTGTTGTGTTTGGTTTCTCTCTTGAACTTTTCTCGACCTTTGTCATTGCCGGATCGCTTCCTTTACAACATGTCTGAGGCTGGAAGCTTTCCCGATTCAGATAGGGGTAGGTTTTCAGTTGTTGTTCCCGTATCCCCAAAAGGGTGCAACAAAATGCGGGCAAGCCCAAAGGGCACTGTCAACAAGAACCCAAGTCCCAACGCGAACCTGTTGCGCGGCTACGATCCCTTGTATCAGGGCACGTTCCATTGCTCTGCATTTGCCAAGAGGGTGCTACTGTGGATGGACGAAATTTTGCACCACTTTGGAGCCATGGGAAACCATTGTTTGTTGGTATTCACAGGGAATCATTTTGCCAGGGTTTCTGAGGTGGTGCAGGATTTTGTCCTGGCAGTATCACCGCCCATACAGTGAGAACATGGTCAGCTGCTTGTAAGACGGTCATTTGGTCCGGGGCACGCGGGACTCTGTAGAATGTCCCAATACTGCAACGAAGGGAGTCCAATATTCCGATGTCCGCGTGGATAACCACTATGCTTGACCATGGCTCGTGTTACATTTCAGTTCAATTGTGCTGAAGTGAGGTCTGTTTGAGTTGCCACCCGCCCCGAACGTTTTGTTTGTATTCTGGGGGTGCTTTATCATTATTTGAGGGATCTTTGTCCTGCTAAGCCAGCACGCAATCAAGCGCGCAACGAAGCAAACCAGCAAGCACAACGTAAGCCCACCCTGAACCCAAGCTAAGCCACCCAAAATTCACACTAAACCCACCCGAAGCGAGCCCTAAACCCGCAACCCATCCTAATAACCCTAAGCGTACCCTCGCACCCTACACCCGCCCTAAACTCCCCCCCCTCCCTAAACACACCCCAAACCAACACTAAACCGCCCAAACACTCTCTACGCCCACCCGAACCCATCTCAACCCCACCCTGAACCCGCCATGAACAAGACCCACTAAACCCTCCCTAAACCACACCAAACTACCCTAAACATGAGCCCATGGCAAGGAGCGCTTCGCCGAGTGCTTGAAGTACCTGCAGGGCACGGCCTACAAGCAGGTGGCCCGGCTCTTTGCGCGGGCCCCGGGCTGAAAATGCTGCGGTCAGGGGAGCTCGGAGTGTCCGTAGGCTGAAAATGGCGGCTTTCCTTTGGCTTTCCTTGAACAAAAACAAAAACACAAAGGGCACCCTCAAACAATGGCAGCCATTTGGGGGGAGTCGCGCCCCCATACTCCCAGGTTTATCGGGAATTTGCCTAATATATGGCTATGTGAGGCTTGGCCAAACTTTGCGGTCGTCGAGGCGTCCATTTGGGAGGGATAAGAAAGGGGAGTACTAAAATTCCATCACGCTATCCACGGGCCAGCAGGGTGGCCATGGTAACCTCTTTCCAACAAGCGTGAACACGGACAGAAAAGCCTCTCAGAAGATACTGTAAGTCTCTCAGAGGCCTTCTCCACTTCCGTTGTTGGAAAGATAGATGAGGTTCCATGTCAATGTTAATTGGTGGGAGTGTAATTGTTAAGGTTGACCAAATATGAAGAATCAACAGAGCTTTGCTTTTTCTTCTCAACTTGCTTTTCGCCAGAGGGGGTCTTCACCCCCGAGTCAACAGAATTGTCGAGCCTGCTTCCTGCTGTGCCCCGGTTCTTCCGTTCCGCAGGGTTCGAGATCACGTCCTCACCAGGCGAATGAGAATTGAGAGGTTGTGAGGGAAGTGAAGGTCCCAACTTGCCTGTTGGTGACCAATTGATAAGTGCTCAGTTGTTGTGGCCCTTCTTCCGTTTTATTTGGCGGTTGCCCCACTAGAACAAGGATTCAAGCAGCAAAACGGATCCCGTTTGCTGGCCAGTAATAGGGAGGCGGAACATAGAACGACCCAGGCCCCATACTTCCCCTTGATTGTTGATTTTAGCATCACCCTTCGGGCCTTCTTTTCTGGTTGGAAGTACTGCAAGCTTCAGATGAATCCGGAAGACCCTACTGGTCAAAGGAACCCTCATCAATAGTTACTGAAAGGGGAACCACCCACTGATTGGTGCAGTCCTCCTATTCATCCGAGGCTAGCCAGGTTTTTATGTGGCTGTGGATCAAAACCAATGGTACCATGTTGGGGCTTTCGGTACCCGTTTTGGTCTAGTCTAGTGGTTGGATTGGTTGATGTTCACGATTTGGGTTTTGACCGGCCATGTCTTGAGCCCGTGCCCAGGCTGAAGCCGGAGCCAGAGCAAAACGGCGTGCGCTCCGGGAAGGGGAGGCCCCCCTATCCCCCTGTCGCTGTGATGCGTCTCTTCATTTCGCGGGAGCCGCAAAATGGCACATGGGTGTGGTTCCTTTGTTTGAGGGTACCCCTGTTGCAGTGGCGTAGAAAGGGAGACCAAAAGGAAACCGCCAGTTTGGGGGCTTTTCCTAGCTTGAGAGAAACCCGCATCTAGTTGACCCCATTTGTGTTGGCCTGTTCTTGAAGGTACCACGACCTAAGTAATTAGAAGGGCGACGCGATATATTACTAGATCATGGTACCTCATGATCGTTGGACAATGAAGTGTGTGTGTGTGTGTGCGCAGTGATTTTACCGTATATTACAGACTGGTGCTTCAACCGAAGAAGGATAAGGACCTTTAGAAGGGTTGGATACAGGAGCCTTTCAAATGAACAATGAAGATGAAAGTTTCTGGGGAAGGGGGTCCTTTTAGTTTCTCAGTACACCCTTTCCCTTTGCAAGCTGAGAAATCCAAGACGATCAACCTGACAGGGTGCAGGGGGCCGCTTTGCAAAAGGTAAGCTGCTTTCCCAAAGGCTCCTGTGCACCAAACCATGGTGAGTGTTGAACGATTGGGTAAATTGTTCTTCCCCAGCACAGCTATGGGACCAGTCGCCAATTCTGTGTGGGGCAAGCTTCGGGAAGGAACAACGTGGATCCCCAACCCGCCCTGGTTTGGCATCGAACTGGCCGTACTGGGCCGCGTACAAGGAAACCGAATATAGAGGGGCAACATACGCTGTTCTCCATTCATCTCTGGTTGATTTGTTGATTTCAAGCCCGGAAAGCCGCCCCTTTTGACTGGGGGGGCGGCTTTAGTCGCCCCACATCTCCATTTGCATTTTGCTTCAGTTCGACTAGCAGCGGCTGTGGATTGAGGGCATCCCACTCGGGTCAAGCCCGCGGCTCGAGCTCGAACACGTCGCGCCGAGAATTCAGAGGCGTTCCGAGAGGTTGGAATCGAGGTGAAGTGTTGGTCGCGTCAGATGCGGGCTTCTGGTAGATTTTCCAGTAAGCTGACGAATCAGAAGTTGGTTTAGGAGCTGTTCCACTCCCAACGATCTGGTTTTGGGACGCTGGGGTGTTTGAACATTTGATGAAGCAGTCGTTAGGTGCTCCGAGCGATCCAAAGGTTTCTTGTACTTTGGGTTCACTTTGCTCCGGGGTTTGCAAAAGCCCAACGCGCAGCTCTTTCCTCAGGCGGCCTTTTAGGCGGCGGCGAAAAGCTCAACGCGCGCCAATTACCTCGGGCTCAAGCTGGGTGGCAGCAGTTCAAAAGGGTATTCGCGATAAGATTGTTCCTTGAATCTTGACTTGGATCTTTAGACTTTAGCTTTTTGGCTGAAATCAAGTCGGGTGTTCCACTAAACCCCCAAAAAAGTTGAACTTTTTGCAGGGGGGTCAACAGCAACCAAGGAGTGATCATGATTCACTTAGACTCGACTCATGGGCACTGGTAATTGTCCCATTGGTGGAGTCTAAAGCAACTGGAAGATATTGAATACTGGCAGTCCATGCCCATATGGGGGTAAACCTAAAGGAATCTGAGAAGACATATTTCTCAGAAGAGGCTCCAAACAACTGTCGTTTTGTTGTTTCCTCAAACTACAAATGCGTCAAGGGGCAATAGTGCAAGCAAAGGGGCAAAACTGCCAGCAAGACCCAGTGTTCCTTGTTTCCCAGGAAGTGGTACATCTCTTTTTGGCAAAGATACCTCGCTGACTCAGGGCGTGACATGATGTAACCCAGACACCCGCTTTGGCCGGCCGTGATGGCACAGCCCGCGCCAGACCCTTAGATTCCTTTTTCTCAGATCGCCCGCACTTACCTGGGGTATCCTCAGAAATGTACGTGGTATTTGAATGAGTTAAGAAGAAAAGCAATCCGGAGGAACTGTGTTTGGGGAGGGTTAGGCCAAGCTACCAGCACTTGGGACGCTGGACGTGGGACACACAGTCGTATGGTGCTGGTTAAAGCCAGCAACAATCGGACATCAGGAAGATCAAAAAGACTCCTGGGTTTACTAGATGGCACTGTTCCAGCAGAGTCGGGCAATTCTCGTTTATGCAAATGGGCCAGGGTCTGCTTTGAAGGAACCGAAAAGGAGGTTGTGGAGCCAATTGCGGTTTAAACGATTTCTGCCTCCGGAGGGTGGTTTCCTTTCGTGTCCAGCTCCTTTCGGCAGTTGGTGTCCTCATGTTGACCCAAGGGCCATATCCACCTGATTGGTTTGGGGAGTCCGGAAACATATCGAACGAGCTGACCATAGATTTACCCTCTCCCCTTTGGGAGGAGTAGTATGGCAAAAAGAAAAGTCCAAACTTTGTGTTTACCACCAAAATGGTCCAAACCCAAAAAGTTGCAAGTTCAAGAACTCGGAAAGTGAGTCTTTCGAACCTTGGGACCTCTAAAAGGGCATTTGAGGTCCAACACTTTGCCGTTCTACTCCCTCCACAGGGCCCAATAAGGGCCAATGGTCAAGGAGAAGCACATGTCACTTAAAGGGCTTTCTGTCAAAGGAGTAATCTACATGAACCATTGCTGGGAAGAACCCATTGATTCGAATTCCGGGGCCCGTTGTGGAACATCCTTCATGGCTTCGCATCGCCGCAGCCTTTCTTATCCACCGAGATGCCTATATTGCTTGTTTGATGGTTTTAGACATCGCCTTTTCGCCCATTTCATGTGAGTTTCACGAGGTAGGGGAAAGTTTCAAACACAGGGAACCCTTTGAAGGGTATTTTTTTCATCTTTGCTTTCCCACAAATCCTACAGGGAGCCCCAAGACGGGCTATGTTTCGATGAGCAACCTTCCTTTTGGGGATCCTTTGTCAAATTGTCGGGTTCCATGTTAATCTGCAGGAGTGGATCAGGGCAATCGGGTTGTTCTTACCCCCCCCAAAAAAAAAGAAAGAAAGTAAATACAGTAAAATGCACAAGTTGTTCTTTTTGCTTGCATGTGCCATTTCTCGCAAAGGCGTTTGGCCGCCTCAGAGTCGCGGATGTTTGTCAGTTTTCGCAGTGAAATCCACCCGGATCGGGTAGACCATGGAATTCCACGATGGTCTCTCGCAAGACTCACTGAGTTTCGCCATGCAGGCTTTCCTTCGCCTTGGGTTGGATCCAAGGCTTCCTTGTTCCTGCTTTTCTTTTCCGTTCCTTAGCATGCCTTAGGTTTAGTGGCATTTACTGGCTTCTCCCTGTGTTCTCGGAGGCGAAGTTTGGGCATATTTGGGCCAATCCCGGGAAGCGAGAAGCGCTGTGCTTCAACTGACAGGTACGTTGAGCTGACCAGCACTCAAAATGAGGCGGGGGCCGAGGGTTTGCGAGGGCCAATGAAATTTGGCGCGCCGTCACCCCGTGAGTTGTCACAATGAAGACAACATGAAGCCCTGCACCGAGGGTCCCTGTTGTTGGGACACAACTGGTATAGGCCTTTTATGTGCGTGATACATACTATCTATATATGCTACCCCCCCCCCGCAGGGACCTACCTTTTGGCTGCCTCTCCAGTGCATGAATTGCCCATCTAGGACTGGGAGGAACGATCTCTCAACTAGGACCAGGACCAAATGAGACTAGAACCCAGGATCTCTGAACTGGGACTAGGACCAAACTAGGACTAGACGACCCACCTCAGATTCTTACAAAAAATGAACTTCAAGTATAACTTCCTCTGCAATGTCCTGTATATTTTCTAATTGTTGCAGTAAACTAGGGAGCAACCTAACACTAGAACCAAGGATCTCTCATCTAGGACCAAACTAGGACTAGACCATTTAATTCTACTTCTTATAGTATTTGGATGTCAAGTATTACATTCTGGTGGGAAAAAAGTCCTGTTTAATATTTGGTCCTAACATGTAAATTCTGACTGGATATTCTCCTTATTTCAAATTCAATTGTTCAGCTAGAAGTTGCATAGAACTTGACTAATATATTAACTACAATTCATAACGAACTTCCTTTGTAATGTCCTTTATACGTTCTATGTATTTCAGTAAGCTGGGACCATACTTGGCCTATAACCAAGGATCTCCCAACTAGGACTAGGACCAAACTAGGACTAGCTAGTTCTGAAAGTGATTGAATTTCAATGTACAATGGTCTATTGGACAGAAAATAGTTTGTACCATTTAATTTGACACAACCAGTCAATATTTAAGTTCGAATCTAAATCGCAATTTTGGCTGGAGTATGCCCTTCTTAAGCTCCGTTGAATTTCAATCAGAAATAAGGTTGAATTTGATAAAACATACTAAGTGGAATGCATAAGGAAAGAATCCAAAGGTCCCCAACTTGTGTCTTTCACTAGTCCCAACACTACCTTGGTCAGAAAACACCGCAAAACACAGTGTTGTGTAGCGTTTTTCATACTCAATTCACATCTCCACCAACGAACGCTCTCTAAATGCTCATTTGAACTTGAACAGGATTTAATTGGGACTCAATACGGAAATATTTGGTCAGAATCCTAATGGTAATCAAATTTGAGATTGCGAGTTTAAATAGAGTTCCTTTCCCAATATATACTTGCAATTCAATATGAGCTTTAACAGGATTTGATAAGGAAAGAACCCATATTCTCTAGACAAGTCTTCTTTGCAAACGCGAGTCCGAGTGAAACCCATTGAGACCGACTGAAATTTCAGTTGAGCCTGGGTTCAAGATTCCCTAGAAAACTTTGACCTGCAATCTTGAATGTGGGCCTAGATTGAAACAAATTGAATGAATAATCTGGACTTGGATGCTTGCACGACACTGTGCTAAAGTACAGCCGCGCAAAGTGCAATGTTGAGTTTGGGTCTCGATTTAAACCGATTGAAATCGATTTAAATTTAAATCGGGCATGGATTCAAGATTCAAGATTCAAGAATCCAGGCCAAACTTTTCCAGGGATTCTTGAATCCAGGCGTCGATTTAAACCGATTTAAACCGATTTAACTTAACTCGGGCATGGATTCAAGATTCAAGATTCAAGAATCCAGGCCAAACTTTTCCAGGGAGTCTTGAATCTTGAATCTTGAATCCATGCCCGATTTAAGTTAAATCGGTTTCAATCAAGCCTGAAGCTTCCAGAACGTCCTTGGAAATGCTTCTTTTTCATTGCTCTCCCCAAAGCCCAAAAAAGGGTAGAAAACGCTGCAAATACCAGTGAATTCATCAAAAAGGGAGGTCCCTGGGGGGGGGGGGTACCATATATATATATATATATGTATGTTACATATATATATATACGTAGATAGACATTCTAGTCACATATATATATATAGTATTATGAAGACTTACAAAGGTATCCTTGTATAGATGCATAGATCCCTGCAAGTGATTAGCCCTTGTTCCCCTCCCCCCCCCCCCCCGAAACACCCAGGACCCAATTTGCTCCGATCAGTTTGCTGACGCGGACGCATGGAAGGGTTTGCTCAGAAGTGCGGGGCAGACATCTCGCGTGGAAGATGTGACAACTAGCTATGAAGGGGAGCACCAAGTTGCTCAGTGATGCTCTTCGTTTTTGCGGGATGAGTTTCCCCAAGTCAATCGGCAAAGGATGTATCTATGGCCGCTGAACAGACGAGTGGAACTCCCTAAGTCGAAAGACATCAAGGATGGCTTTGCGTCCCTGGTGTGTTTTGGGTGTCGCCCATGTCTTGCGAGCGGCTTTCAACAGAACAACGGTTGTAAAATATCGCCGCGCAACTGTGGAGCTTGCTCCTTGCAAACCGATAAGAGTACAACAACAAAAGCAACATGGTTTTGCAGGATAGCAAAATTGCATTTGTTTGTACAACCCCACCTCATCTGGTTCAAACTCTATCAGTGATACCCCTTTGATGTGTAGCACCCAAACTCTCAGAATTGTGGAGGATCCTACCCGGGGATCATGAGGCTATGACAATTTTGGCAGAGATAGAAGTCAGCAGTTTTGAATCTGCTGCCTTTGCATCAACATGGAACCCACCAGAGGGTCCCTTTTAAAGGCACATAGTCTTCCAGGCTTCGACTTCCTCGCCTCCATGGAGCGCCGGACATTTTAGTAGTAGTAAATACACAGTTTGACAGTTTGTTTACTTTTTGTTGGCCAATCCACGCGATCGGAAGTAAGGCTAGTTGTTCAACATGATTTCTCCCCGCTGGGGGTGGGGTATATTCTCATGAGCTCACGCACATGGAGCCCTGGCTTGCTTCTCGCCGCAACTTTCTGTTTTGGCTGTCAATAGGGAAGGCCTCTCACCGCAAACGCACGGCCATGCGCGGCTTTGCGGTGGTGCCTGAGGAGGAGACGTGGGTGTGTCGGTCCGGCGGAATAAGGGGGCCAAGTTGCGCAGGTTGGTCTGCCGAGTTGCTTAGACACAGACGCAGTCGATAGCCTTGGTTGATGCTGGATGCCCATGTTTGATTCGGGTGCGTGTGACTAAACATACTCGGACTTCCTTTGATTGGTGCTTTGCGGAAAACCCTCAGAAACCAACAATTTTACTGGCCTTTCGCAATTGTTCTCCATTTAATGGTTCGACAGATCTGGAAATAGTCTTCCATATCTTCTTTGGGGTCAACTGTGTTAACAGCCGCTTGCCTGTTTCTGAGTGTCCCAGAGAAGGCGTGCCTTTGGGAGTTTGAGCTGCGGAACCGCTAGGTTGGGACTTTTGTACTCCGGCACTTTTTGGGAGAGGGTTCCCCTACTAAAATAGACTACAGTACCCTTATTCTAACCTCTCTACTGGAGGACCTAGAATCATTGGGGAACGGGGTGGTTCCTGTGTTTTTCTTGCGGAAGAACTCCCTTCAAAATAAGCCACCCAAAGCGCCACGTCTCCTTCATGTATCCGTTTGGTTGGCGTCGTGCTACGATACCTCGGCGCGGGTTGGCAGTCCGAGAGCAACACATTAGTGGTCCAGCGGCTGTGGTGGATGCGGTTACAGTGGCCATATTGCTTAGATGGTTTTTGGAAACGCCTGAGGTATATGTGGGTACGTGTTAAAACAGGGGAACCCAATAAATAGTCGTTGTCCTGTTTGGTGTCTCTTTAAAGCAGCCTTAACAAGGCTACTCTCAATGTATATATATATATATATATACATATATATATATGTATATATGTACGTTATGTATACATATATGTATATATATATATATGTATATATATATACATGTATTTTATGTCTGTATGGATTTCTTTATTCCCTTTTGGTTCGCGGAACTCCAGAGAGCATGCCTTACGTCAGGAGCCGGCGGTGCTTGCTTCTCTGAGGTGCGGGGAGAGCGGGCGAGCGGCTGCTCTGTTGCCATCTCTCAACTGAACTTCGGTGACCTGTTTTGCCCTTTTGCTCTTTAGCCCATATGGATTCCCTGATTTTTTTTTTTCGCGCAGGCAGAGCAGTGAAGTTGCAGGGTTCTAGGTCTGGGCAGGGTTTCAGCTTGTCATGCTAATTTGTTTGCTGGTTTGTTTGCTGCTCGAAAATGGGTATGGATTTCAATTCCGCGCTATTTGTTGAGTAGGGGCATATTTTAGTTTCTCCGCGAGACTTCGCAGCCGCGAAACAACAGTGTTTCAGCCATGTTTACTATCTAACACTTGTGAGCATGAGTCGAATAAGCTGGATGGAGTGCGCGCTGTTGGTTTACACAGACAAACCTAATGTTTGCACCGCCTGGAACTTTAGATTCGATTCTTGAAGCGTGAGTGGGCACCTAGTTGATTTTCGGCAAGAAGCGCGAAACAAACGTGCCCCGCGGGTTTGCAACCGGTGCAACAAAGAATCTAGTAGAGAAAGTTCTGAAAAAGAAGCTGAAGCTTGCATCAGCTATATATACAGTTGGCTGCAATCAAGAGATACCTTAGTGTTTTTGGCTTGGAAGTAAACGTTCTCCCGAGCTGTTGTTTTACAGTTGCGAACTAGGCGTCTGATTCATACCAATCTGCGTACAGATCATAAAATCATATAAAGCTGGCTTCATCGTTCGTGGTATTTATTGGCTACATGAAGAAACACGCAAATCCAATGGTCTAGGTTTGTTTCCCTTCCCGAAACAAGCCCTTCCTGAAACAAACCTTTTCCACCCAAACATCAGTTTACCATGCACATGTGTTTCATCCGCACGCTGCCTTCCTGGGAAGAAACAAGCGTTCGGCACAGCATTGGAACAGTGAGTTTCCCTTTGAACTCCAACGTGGACGCAATTGTGAAGAGAAGTTTGTTCGTTTCTAAGGGAGGGCAGGGTTGGTAGCACCTCGACCCTCCTTGGACAGGGTTTGTTTACGTTGTAAAGCAAACAATCGAAACCCGGGTTCCGAGACTCCCGCGACATCTACTCATGGCATGGGTCAGGACCACAGAGAAGTTCTCCGAGCCTTGAACAGACGACCAAACCGCAAGGGTAGAGATTTGGCTGTGGGTTAAAACCAATGGTACCATTTTGGGGTAGGTGCACCACCCATTTTAGTCTATTTTAGTGGGGATTGGGATGTTCACTGGGGGTACGGATTTTGACCCCTGGACATTTGGTCAATGGTTTCCTTGCGGTGTTTCCCTTCACCGACAGTAAGTGACCCCACTCCCCACGACCACCTAGGTGAAATGTGCCATGCTCAATTGACACCTTGTCGTTGCTTTTTGCTCCAAAGATTTAGTACTAATGTGCATCCTCTGAAAAGGGAGTTTAGTCAATCAACAATAAGGCTGTTCTGTGGACAGCACCACCATGGCTAACCCGAGTTCTCCCCATGGCAAAATGGCAGCAATAGGTCGAGCAAGCCAATTGCTGGCCCCCATTCCGCCAAGTGTGGTAGTGCCAAGTGGGCCTTTTTGCCCTTCTTTTGGGTTCCTTCGAAGCGTGATCTCCAATTGTGCAGGCCGACCCTGGGTGCAACAGGAGCGGTTGCGCAGGGCTCGGATCATTTTTCCCAAGGTTTAGGCGGGGGGAAATGGGCCGCAGAAAAAACCGCTGGCCGGCCTTTTGCCAGGCAAAGGACGGTAACTCGGATGCACGGAGATGGGGTTGGATGCTTGCGATTTTCAGATCCCTTCTGAGGGTGATCTACTTCCGGGCTCTTGACACTTGTGGGAACTGTGGAAAAAGCAGGTCAAGTAGCCGTGCCTGTGCCAAAGGCACCTGTTCAACTCGGGAATTATTATGTATATAAATGCCGGCAACATAACTGGCTGCATGTTGCTGTGGTTGACGGAGTCAAAGCTTGGGGTTCATCGTGATTAAAGGTTGATGATTTTGGTTCCTACGAGGATTTCTCTTATCGGGTTGGCGAATGCTAGCATATTGCACTTATGGGGAATCCTGATAGCTTCCCTAAGGACATCCAGCTGGTGGTTCCTTCGGTTCCCGCTGGTTGTATCCACCACCCATTTCGAAATGAGGCCACACTGCAGCCCCAACAGATCTCCAGGTCCGGTCGACCTAGGCCTCCGGCTGATTTGTGGAGGTGCAAGCTTTGTTACTTCCAGGTCCTTCGGGCAGGGGCGTTTTGTTTGGCTTCGCAAGGGCTTCCAGGTTGCCCTGGTTTTGGAAAATGTTTTGGGGGGTTGGAGAGACACTCAAGCGCTCAACGAGTCATGAAACAGAAGTGCAAAGACAGCGAGGTGGGCGAGGTGTCTCCATGCTTTGAGTGCCGGTTTGCTAGGTCAAAGCTTTGAGCATGGGCGAGTGACTTGTCACCTCGCTGAGGCTCTACACAAAGAATCCTCGGACGGCCCTCCTTTGGAGGCCTGGACTGTCAGTCGTGGCTTCATGCCCAGAGGTGTCCTTTTTGGTTGGTAGAAATAGATAGCCCTGGTTGACTTTTTCTTTCATAATCTGGGGCCATTTGTTTCCCAAAGGGCCGAACGCGGGTGCTGACATTATTTTGTATGTCCTTCGCAAGATAGATCATCATTCCAGCATTGAGCGAGTGTGGCGAACAATCACGGGTCAGAAGAGCGGCCTTGTTGCTTCTTGCGGCTTCGGAGGAGCTTAGGCTCTCAACAAGTTCAACTTATTTGAGCTGCGTTTGAGTCTGGCCGAATTGGATGCATCAATTTGGCAGATGCATCGACGGGCCGTTCGACGCTTCGGGCGAAGGGGTTCCATAGGTTTGGATCATGCGAATGACAGCTGCAAATTCCACCAGTGCAATGCCCTCTGGTGTGTACGTCTTTGTTCCCCCAAAAGGACAGCCAATGTGTTTTGCTTTTGTTCCTCCTCTCTCTCTCTCTCTCTCTTTGTATCTGTCTATCTCTCTTGGTCTTGGCTTTCTCGCTCTCTTTTTTTTTGCCTCTTTTCCCCCTCTCTCTCTTTCTCTCTTTCTCTCTTGTCACACCCACGAAAGTGAACACCGCAAGAACACCGAGCTTTCGAGGGTCAACCCCACAGAAGTCCGCAGAGGGCTCACCTTTTAATTCCAGCAAAAGGCAACAAGACTACCTAGCACAAGTTTTTGAAGGTCGACCGAAGCGAGCGAGCGGAGCGACAAACGCAACAAACGCACGAGCCATTGAAAATTGGATGGTTTCAATTAAGTGCGTGCGCAGCCGTGTCAACCCCCCCCGTCTCCGAGGCCGTTCACGGACTGTTCCGAATGGGCTCCAAGACCGGTTTACGTACATGAAAAAGGGCCGAATTCGCCACGTTTCCTGCCGGTGATTTTTCAGTTTTTCTGGAGATGCAGACTCAGTTAGTTTCATTGTCGCGCAAGGTCCTTTGAATATATCACGTACAAGCACTTGTGTTAAGTCGTCCTTGCTTGTGTGAAGTCGACCTGATCGGGTGTCCCCATGCTGTTCGGTTAGCAAGCACATGTTCCAGAGCTTGTGCGTGGAGGCATGCTATGATTATTTGGAGTCCCTTGGGGTTTGTGCCAAATCCTGCTGGTGCTGGTGCTGAATTCGGTATTTCCAACGTGTTTTCCCTTTGAGCGACTTTTCGCACCTGAGGCCTTTCTTCAAATTGGTGTCCCATTTTCCCATTTTCCCTTGCCGTGAAGCATGATTTTTCGGTATGGTGTCCACGCGTTTTCCTTGGATCGCGATCCTGAGAGTTGCTTTTTTCTGAAGCGCGTGTTCTAATGGCTCATGTGGTGTCCCCCTGCGGCGGGGCTTCTGAAGGCGAGCGCGGCTGACTTAACACGAGCGCTAAGAAGGATGTTGTCATAGAGCTTTTGGCTTTGAACTCACTCTCAACTCACACTCGGAGTTGCTGCTTGAGAAGACCGTTATAGTTGAAGCGAAGATTGACATAGATTCTAGCCAAGCCACCCCGGAAATTAACCCATGCAGGGTGGTTCCCCGGGTTACGATGGCTTGCCTGGACGCGCTGGGTACTATTCCATTCGCTTTTGTCAGAGGCAAGAGCCACATAGCTGTGGGTCAAAACCCTGTACCCCTGGTGAACATCAAAATAGGTGGTACATGGGTGTTCATCCGCCCCAAAATGGAGCCATAGGTTATGACCCATGGCCACATGTGAGCCATATCGGCCACAGATCAGGCGTTGCGCACCTGTACCTCGGAGAGTATTTGGACGGCGGGCGACCGACGTCGCCTGCGCGTGAGGCGCCAGGAGTGCTTCCCGTTTTTCGTCCAAACCCCCCTTCCTGCTGAAGTTTCTGAAGATTCCAACATTCCAAGACAGATACCTCATAGGTAAGTGGCGTTGTTTTCTCCGAAACTTGGACTCGGGCGGGGTAGTGACAGTCTTTCTATCAAATTAATGGACCCAGGGATTCTTTAGTTCTGGTTGACACTTATGGAAGTTGGGACAAGTCTAATGCCTGGTTGTGTGGTTCATGTGTGGTTCATGTGTGGTTCTTACTTGGAATGACACCAACAAGCTTTCCTTCTTATGGAAGCTGGCAGTCATCGCCGGCACAAACGCGCGCACGTTCGTCGCCTCCTTAGGACCTCAGCTTTCGGCGTGTGGTCGCTAGCAAGTTGGCAGGGGCGTTCTAGCATTGTCCTGTTCAACGGCAAGCTATCAAACGCTTTTGTGGAATGATTTGTCCTTGTCTTTGTCGAGTGGAGCCAACCTGAGCAATGCAGCCGATTATACAACCCCCCAGAGACCCCGGTTGAGAGGCCTGATTTCGCCTTGAACGGGCTTACTTAGCGGGAGCATACAGCCCTGTGTTTTGAACCGCTTATCCCCCACCAAAAGTACGTAGTGGGAAAATTTGCCAAATTAGGACCTTCCAACACGTTTTCCCATCACAAAGCTAAGACCGTGACGGGTGGCCGCGCTTCAAGCCAGCACTGGTGGTTGAACGGTGTGTACGTGGCAAAATAGCCTCCCTCTGATACGAAAGCAGGCCATCCTCGTGACTTGATCAATCTCGAGGAATTGGATTCTCTTGGCACCTAAGTTGCTGCCCGAAACAAGTGTTCCACAACCATGGCGAGCGGTTTCAATCCTACCTCAGCTTTAGGGCCCATTTTCTCGTTTTTAGGCTTCCGGTCCATATGCAAAACTGCACCATGACGAACAACTCTCGCGCAGGAGCAACTGAAGACTTTCCTGCGACAGCATGGTTTCCACGAGGTGTCTGCGCCCCAATCCTCGGGCTGCTGGTCCTTTTTCGCAAAGGCGGGATCTGCGGTGTAGAGAATGCAGGCCGTAGGTCAGGGACATTCAGCCACTTAAGCCTTGAGTGGCTGGGTTTCTCAATTTTGTTCGTCAATCAAAATCGAGAAAGCCGGGGCTCACTCATGCCCAAGGCGGTTGCTTCTTGGCCTGGGCAATTATCCAAAGGCGTGAATCCAACAGATCGTGAAAGTTGATCTCGGAACTGGGCGGAATGCTGCCCAAAGGGGGTTTCTGTTTACCCCCAAAAGTGATTCACCTAATCAAAATGGACAGCCATGAATCAAGGGGCTCAATCCTGACTTCCCACAACAGTCCTTTGTGCTTTGGCAGCGCAACATTCGCAAAACGTCTCTCCGGGAGGGTCAAGGACTCCGATTGAGGCAAGCTTTCTTTTGGAATGTTTGCTTGCCCGGGCTTGAAATATGAGACCGGAGACATGTATGAACAACTGTCATGTCCGTTTGTCCTGCATAAATAGGTAGGTGTCCTACAAAATGCATAAATGGGGGTTGATCAAAAGGTCCTTGCAAGGAGTTATGTATTCGGTGACCATTCGTCTTGGCTTAAATCCCTCCGCGAAAGATCGGCGATGGAGTTCGCGAAGGAAACTTTTTTTTTCGCGAAAGATTCCGCGTTGGATGTTTGGAGGCATGCCTGTGCACTTACATATTTGCAGACCCCGCTCCCTTGTAGAGGGAGATACGCAGCACCTACACTTGCATTATTTATTCCCTGCCTGTGCTGGGAATGGCGCAAATCAATAACGTTGGCTGGGCTATTTTGGAGCAAGTTTCGCGAAAGATCCGCGAAAGACCGGCGAAAGGCCAGGGAGCTTGTTGCAAGGTTCCGCACATCGCCGGCAAGCGCAAGTGGCAAGGGCGAATGACGGTGACTGCTTGCACTTAACACTACGTACTGCACGCAGGTGAGCTGCGGCTATCCTGTGTACAAGCATAACTGCAGCAGCCACAATGGCTCCAGAGCGCACGCTGCAAACAAAAGGGCAAACAAAAGGGCTTGGCGATGGAGTCGCGAAAGATTAGCGAAAGACACTTTTTTTCACGAAGATGGCGTTTTCCGGAAACAGGAATATTGATCAAGTGCCAAATGCCAACTACCCCAGGTTTGCTTCGAATCCAGTAGCGCCCAGCGAAGCCGTGTTTGTGTTTCATCATTGTAGATGTCACTCGCAGGGTGCCGGATCTGACGATGGCCCAAAATCTGCACTCGGACAACTGATCCCCAAATCCGCGCGCTGGATAGTTGCCCAAAGTCGTTCCAGCCTCGGACGAAGCCAGGAGCGGATCTATCCTCTTCACCTGGCGGCGCGGCAGGGCAACTGCGACATGGTCCGCATCCTCCTTGCAGAAGGCGAGCTCAGTTTTGCTGGATACTTCCTATTTGCGTGTTTTCTGGGGATTTTTGTTGCTTCATGTTTTTGAATATCTTCTAAAGTTTTGGTTCAGGGAAACACGAGAATCGTGTTTGTAGAGTCGCAACGACCATGACATTTCCCCATGTGCATAATGGGTTTCCATGGGTTACAACATGGCTATCTTATGTCTATATTTGCACGTAAGGGGTTTGGCTCCTTCACATAAACCCGAAACCCTAAACCCGTGTTTTTGTCTGAAAGACACCGTTTTTGGTGGACAGGAGCAAAAAGGCAGCGTTTCCCAAGCACGACACACGTACAGGCTGTTGAAGCCGCAGGAAAAGACAATCTCACTTTGCATGCTTTCGGGTGGCTTCGCCCACAGAAATGGTCTTCGTCTCAGGCAAGTATCCTAGCATCCAAAAAAACTCCGCCTTGCAGGAAACGTGTTCCTAGTTGGAAAACATGGTCATGGTATTTGGCTTAAAGTCGTGGTTTTTCTGTGACCAAATGATGGTATCTCATTGGGTAAGACTGAATATGTTGGTTTTTCAAAAACAAACTAAAACCGCTGGTTTCTGTCTACTTTCTTTCTACCAAGCACAAAGGGGTCCACCATGTTGAGAAATCTTCCGACCGGAATCTGAAAACCTACGTGGGTGTGTCTTGTTTTAATGGACCCAAAATGGTGGTTTTCCTTTTAGGCTTTCCTTCAAAACCCCAACAAACCGCCGCAAAATAGCAGTTTCTTTTCGGTTTCTTTGTAAACCCCAACCAAACGCCACCCCAAATGGTGATTTCGTTTAGGTTTCCATGTAAACCCCAACCACACGCAGGCCGCCTCACCCCAAGACCGCAACCCCGAGACATGACCGGAGGAGCAGATCCCCAGCAGCTCACGTCGCGGAAGCGTTCGGCGCTGGACCTGGCGAAGCAGTGCAAGGACGCCCTGCAGCGCGAGAAGGCGCCGGACGGTTCGGCGCGCGGGGGGGGGGGGTGGGCCAAATCAACGGCCAAAACGGGTGGGACAAAAATTTGCCCGAAATGATGTCCAGAGTTTGAGTGGATTCCTCAACATCACGTTGTGAGACTTCAAGTGAGTGGCCCCATTGATTTGACTTGCGGAGAATGAGAAACCTGAGGGTTCCGAAGCGGCTCCGTCATCTTGCCCCTGAAGGTTCTAAAGACAAGGTCTTGACTGAAAGGTGTTGCAGGGGAGGTGCCCTTAGGATTCTAATACTGATAACTCAGGATTGCGACATGGGAACCCAGTTGATATAAACTCACCTGCGAATCTACATGGAATCCAAGATGATGGGACCCTTTATTTTTTAAGGGCATTTCACTAAACGTGGTTGTTTGTGATGCGTAAACCTTGTTTCAAGGAATCTTCACTGTCGGGAAACCTCCCGCTGCCTGGTTGAGCACTTCGGGGTAAATATTGCCTTGCTTGTTCAAGGGCTTTGGCTTTGGCCCCTGCAATTTGAGTGTCCTGGCAGTGTGCGGATGCAGCACACGTTGTGCTGCATTCGATTCCGCACCCGAATCTCAAGGACTTGCCATCAACATCATCAGAACTTGTGCTAAGACCAGCACCCCAAGTCCTATTGGAAACCACCCAATCCCTCCACATGCCAAGCCTGGCTGGGCTCAGCAATCCCCCTTCAGGTAGGCCGGATTGCCAAGCGATTTGAACCTGTGAAATTGGTGGATGCCTCACAAGCACACCTTGAGTTGTAGTCAGTGCAGATTTCTCGGAATTTGGTTCTGGAGGTGTTCGTGGTAGCTGTTTCGTTTGTAGAAGCCTTTGCCAGCCTTGGCTTTTTGCGATATGCTTTGAATTCTCAAAGAACGTGTTGATTCTAGCGTTTTGACATGCTTCCCCACCCATGGGTTGGGGAACCAATATGTTCGGTTCCATCACCAAGTGTTGGTTCGCCCGCACGTCGTTTGCTCTGAATGTGGCAACGGACGGCGTTCTGAGGGTCTACGCCCTGCGAGAAAAAACTCGCGGAAATCCTGAAACGGCCACCACCGCGACGAGGCGTTCTTCCTGACCCGTGAGACATTTCGCCCCATCCGGGCTTCAAACTGCGCATGGCCTTCGGTGTGGTCGAGGTTCTCCCCTGGCTTTCGCCGGCAAGGCGTTCCCTTCCAGAAGTGATGAAGCCGCACTCAAATCAGGGACACCACCACATATAAACGGGGGTTGATGAATATGGGTGTGGGTCAAACCCAGGTACCCTTTTTTTTGGGTCACCCACGTTTGTTTGCTCAAGTTTAAAAGGGGATGTGGGGGCCCGGTAGGCGGGCACCGGGGTTTTGACCCACAGCCATATGGGGTCAATACGACTTCCCCGTTCCGTTGGTTTTCAACCTCTGGCCCCAAGGTTGAGCTTCTCGGGGTGTAAACCGTTGTAAACCAGGTGCTCGGGCTGCTGACTAGCCGCGTGAAGGCAGGCGGTGTTTTCGTGTGTGTTATTTTGGGTGGAGACGGCCCCAAAACGCACTTGCTAGGTCCCCCAGCTAGGTGCCCCCTTTACCGTTCCTTGTTTGGTTGGGAGGGTTCCCCTACTAAAATAGACTACAGAAAAAAATGGGTATTCTAACCTCTCCACTGGAGGACCTAGCTTGGGTGCGGGAGATAGCCCCAGTTTGTTCAATTTAACCTCAAAGGGAAGCCAAAGGAATCTTTGGATTTTCCCAACCCCTGTTTAGTCACCAAATCGGCTATCCCACGAGTCGGGGGAAGTCTGCGTATCACGAGTGGCAGTTCATTTCACACTTAAGACACGCAGATTTGCGGACAAAAATAAGATAGATGGATGGATAGACGCACAGAGATAGAATGGATGGACAGGTGAAAGGATGGACGGATAGATGCTTGGATGGGTCCTTGGACAGACAGACGTATGGATGGGGCGATCGCTGGATGCATAGATACATCGATAACCGGATAGACAGATCGATAACTAAATGTGTTCATGGGTTGACATACAAGTTGGCCGAAAGACGGACAGACAACGAATAGATAGCAAGTAGATTTGTAGAGAAAGACAGATTAATACAGAGAGCAATGCCATAGACCAACAAGTAGATAGACAGCGCGCTAGATAGACAGACAGAGACAGAGACAGAGACAGAGACAGAGACAGAGACAGAGACAGAGACAGAAACAGAGACAGAGACAGAGACAGAGACAGAGACAGAGACAGAGACAGAGACAGAGACAGAGACAGAGACAGAGACAGAGACAGACAGACAGATAGATAGGTAGACACATGTAAATATATACAGATAGGTATATATATATATAGAGATAGATAGATAGATAGATCGATAGATAGACAAATAGATAGATAGATAGACAGACAGACAGACAGACAGACAGAGACAGACAGAGACAGATAGATAGATAGATGATAGCGCAGGAGGATAGACACATATCTTAGATGGGTAGGCAGGCATAGATGGGTACGGGGATACACAGATAGGCTGATGGGTAGATAGACAGAAAATAGATCCTTAGATAAATAGACAGACAGAAAGATAAATAGCAAGATACACTTAATGGCGGAAAAGACAGATAGCACAGATAAGATGGACACGATAGATAGTTGGGAAGGCGAGGTTAGATGTGAGATGGAATGAGCAAGGTAGATAAGTTGTCAGATGCGCAGGTAGCTAGAGAGATAGAAAGGTATATGAACAGGCCGGTAGACCAGCGGAAAGACAGACAGGCTGAAGAAACAAGGAAGAACGCTGGCTAGACGAGCAGGAGTATTAGAGAGTAGATAGACAGCTGTGTACACCGACAGAAAGAAGGAAGGAAGGAAGGAACGAAGCAAGGAAGGAAGGAATTCGAAGGGAAGAAATATTAAGAGAAGGAGATAGACAAATAAATATAGTAGAGAGGCAGGTTGGTAGGTAGATAGATGGGCGTAGATGGACTGACAAGAACCTAGATAGATAGGCACCTGGCGAACAGTTGGAAACTTCTAGGTTTAGATCCATAGATAGGTAGCCGGGGAGCTAGTCAGATAGATACATAGATAGATGATAGATAGGTAGGTTGGTAGAGAGACGGATAGGTAGAGACACACACAGATAAATGCAGATATGGAGAGAGTAGGTTGTCAGATGAATAGAGGGATAGAGAGACGGGTAGACGCGTTAGGGAGTGACAGAAACATAGACTGCGCAAAGATGCGTAATAAGCCACGCAAAGAAAGAGCGCAAAGACAGGCAGCCAAGAACTTTCACAAGCAACACGGCTCCAGAGAGCTAGCGCAGCAAGAGCTAGCGCAGCACGAGCAGAGCGTGCAAATTAGCGTGAGTGTTGCTGCGACCCTTTCGTGACACGCTGTGCACCGACCTGGTGCATTGCCTGCCGCATTGCTTTAGCTTGTCGTCTCACAGGACGTGTCTCTCTCTCTCTCTCACACACACGTTGCGGAAGCTTTCGGCAATTCATCTGTGTTTTGGTCTGTCAGGTTTCCCTGCAGAACACTTTGTTGGCGGCAAACAAACAAGAAGTTGAGACTCGGCCGGCTCTCGACATTTGCCATGGCAATCCTGGTGTTGAATAAAATTGCAAGAGTTTCCAAGGGAACCCCCTTCAGTTCCACGCTCTTTGAGGATATTCTTTGCAACCGTTTTGTGAGTCACAGCGTGACGTTTTGGGTGCCCTTGGAACCAGGTCTTTGGAGTTGGTGCGCCTTGGATTCAAGATCTTCTGGCTTGGGCCAGGTACTGGACCTTCGCTCCGCTTTGGACCTGATGGTGCCGAATTCAGCCGATGATCCCCTCAGATGAGGTATGCACAAAGCACGAATCACAACATGTGGCAGGGTTGACGCTTGCGCCAGTCCAACCTTTTGCAAGGTGCACGTCCTGGCACAGCAGATGACAAGAAGCCCTTGAAGTCATCGCCAAGCGTTGTCTTTTCAACCACCCGCATGTTTGTTCATGTGTTACCAGCTCCTTCAGTGGGTTCCTTCCAGACTCCAAAACGGGCCTCGTTTTTCAGTTGTTCCGTGGGTCTTCCTGGGTGGGTTCGGGACATGCTCGAGACAAGCAAAGACTGCTCCGAGAGTGTGTTTCTGCCTTTCAGGTTACTGGCAACTGAGCGGCGTCCAAAACCTCCTCTGTGTACCTGTTCAGTAAGACATGTTTAGTAAGAGTCATGTCACATTGACCAGTGCGTAAGGAAAAAAACCGCGCGCGTAAGGTGGCGTGTGTCGCGTAAGCAACAACTCCACACGCGTAAGGTGGCGTAAGCGTGTGGAGTAAGCAGAATGATACGACATAGCAAATCATGACACGTTTAGGACATGGCTCAACTGAGGTTCAACCTGCCGCACCTCTTGGGAAAACCTCCTGCTTTGACCACCTTATGGGGACGTATGGGTATGTGATGGTCCCCAAAATGATGGCTTTCCCAGTCTTAAAAGGGTCTCCTCAAAAAGTAGAAACGCGTGTCTGGAAAAGCCTTCTAAAAGAAGTGCAGTCCTTTTTGGAGGTCAACCACATCCCAGAGAAACCCGACCCCAAAATGCGAATTCTGTTGAAGTGTGCGTCAGCCCTGCCGAATCTTTCTCGCATTGACCATGTCAAACGTGCCGTAGGATATTTCGGGCCAGGCGGAGAGCCAAGGGCCCAGCCCAAGGCTCGTGCCTTGCCGAAAAACAGATCTAATGATCTGATTTACTCCTGGCTGCACCTCCACCTGGACCTTCTAATCTTCTTGCTTGCATTTGCTTCAGAATACGCGAGTATACGCGAGTTATGTCCCCCAAGGTGACCTGAAGGATGGATGGCCAGAGAGGTCTGGAAACCCCGCAAGCTAAATTCCCTCCCGCAAACCTAGAAGTGCAGAGAGAAGAATTGCTTGCTTTCCTTAAAAGGATGTTCGTTTTCCAAAGAGGGGAAAGAGTAAAGAGTCTTAGAGGCTGCAAGCCAAGCATGCGTTTGCTGGGAGGCTGCAAAGACGCATAGACATTGAATCGTGCACTTTGCCCTTTCCGAGACGTGCAAGCGAGAATCGGTTCGGGTCTGCTTCGGGTGCCGGCCAGAACTTGCCAGACTTCAAAGGTTCGCCTCTTGCACAGTTTTCCCCCGTGTTGGGTCTCCTTAGGTTGCATTTGTCTGGGGCTAGATCTGGGGACCGAAGGTGCCCAAATGTTTCTTCTCCGTACTCCGGGGCAGCTCTCTTAGGACCTCCCCCCATCTCCGCTCAGCCTGCAGCTGGATGACCGCTCTTGGCGATTGATGCATATTCAGCTTACCTCAGCGATCAACAAGAAGATGAGTAGTCATGCACCGTTCAGTGTCTCAATCCCCATCAAGATCCCCATTGTCGTTCCTTTAAACAGTTACGACAGTTTTGTTGTTGGGAGAAAAGGGAGGTGTTACGTGCTTGGGGGGGAATGGTGGCGACTCGCCCACCCCTTCCGCCTTGTCAGAGCTTGTTCTAAAAAAATGCTACCATGTCAACTTTGCAAAATCGGCTATTTGATTGAGTGTTTGTACAGGGTGTCTGTTTCCGTGTCTTGGTCTGTGTCCGTTTCCCACTAGCCTTAAACAAACAATGAAGCTGTTTCTGCACGGGGCAGTAGCCACCAGGTGTCACCTTTGGTGAAGGGAATCCCGTCTTTACAAGGGCAGCCTTTTCACCAGCGGAG